TAAATAAATAAATAAATAAATAAATAAATAAATAAATAAATAAATAAATAAATAAATAAAGTAAAAATCAATCCTCATACTGAGACGGAAAACAGAACAGGGATGGAGCAGGGCTATGCCCTTTTGGTGTGGTAGGTAAACGGCTTAGGAAATGTTGAGCACGGGATCCAGTCGGTATTGTCCTCCGCCGCAAAGGCCGCGAGAAGCGGTCGAATTACAACGATCGGACGAGTCAGTTCGGCCCTAATCGTCTTGTGAGGCAGTCGGTACAGTGTGGTCTGAAGGATGCAGTTGTGAAGCTGATCTGAGATCGACAGTCGTGTTCTCAGCATTTGTTGTGGCCATACGTAATAAATTGTTAAATACATAAAGCCCATGCACAGTTCATGTTACGTTGGTCCGATAGTCGAACGTGAGAAGTTGTTCTCGTCTACGCGTCTCACATCTACAGATATGTATGCACTGTAGTGACGCTACTGCAATGACGAATGACGAGGACGTAAGTGTGATGCCAAATTTTAAAACATGTATGTGTAACTGCTATAAAAGGTGGCATGGAGCTGTAGATAAGTGTGGATAAGTTGTAGTGCGTCTTGAAAGGGAGGAATATTTTGTTGTTTGTGAAGGAAGGAACTATGCACATTCGTTTGAAGTCATTTCGTGCAGAAAAAAACACCAGCATATTTTTTATAATATTAACAATAAATAATTCCTTTAACGATTTTGCCTCAGAAACATAGATTCCCGTAGAAAGTGTTTTTTTTATAATTTTCCAATTTCATCGCTTATTATATGTAACCGGAACTTTGTATGCATTACCAAGTCTCCAACCAGGAGAGGTGGCTCAGGCATCGACTGACGCCTCTGCAGTGCATCTGACCGGGAGTTCGTAGAGTCGAGTCCCGACAGTGGCAGAATTTTTGAATCTTGCTAGATACTAGCTAAGTCGAGTTCTGTCGCTGTCTAGAGGAGAATTCTAGCAGCCGGCTGCTTTGATCGGTAGTTTTCCGTGGTTTCCCCTATCAGTACCAATCAAATGCATGCGCAGGGCCCTAGCAAACTGGCTACGGACCGTGCGCGATCATTCCTTCCTATTGACTTATCCCACCCCTTATCCACATTTACACTTACATGCACTATACTACTACATATGCCGCGAAACCGGTCGGGAACTTAGAGATTCTCCCCGCAAGGATGGAGCCCCGTTGGTGGGAGATACCTGATTGTGGGAATCCCCGGTAGCTGACGGTAGGTCGGTGCCGGATCTCTCCATCCAGCGTGGGAAGATCTCCGCCTCATCCTGCAATAAAACATGCACTAAACGTTCGGAACTAATAACCTTAGCAGTTGACGCGTCCACAATTACTAATCAACCAACTAACCAACAAATCCAACTCTCGATGCGGTGTTGTAGATCCGGGAGGTCAATTAGCGTCATTTGCGAATAGCGAGTGCAACGGCTGGTTGGCGGGCTAAGGTTCTCACGGCCACAGGTTGTGCACGATCTCGGCGCCAAATGCGGTAGAAGACTGTCGTAATATGCACCTCGATACTTTTAGTTCATGATTTGTTGTTTTTTATCTTTTGTATCCAAAATAACAATTTTGTTCTTCAACTATACTTACAAATACCCTCAGCACTTCGACTCACTTCTGCATTCACAATTGAACTGAACATTGTACAAGAAGATAACTCGTCAAAAAACTATTGTGCAGAAACGAATTGTTTCTCAGCGAGCGAAATGACATAACAAACATTTTTTCATCTAATTGAGAAGACGATTGTGTTTTTTGCATGAAATGGTTCACCTGTATATGGGAAAGTTACGTGACCCTAGAGTTAAAGTAATTCAGTTCAACCAGCATGAAACTTCTCTTCATTTCCCTTACTCAAGCGAAGAATTCGACAGGTATGAGAATCTCATCACTTGCTCTGCCATTCGAGTCATCATTATAATTACCCACCCGTCATGAATTAAAGATCCAAATACTACTATACTCAAATTTATTGCGTAATCAATTTATTTCCACAAGAAAGTTAAAAGTTAATTAAATGTATTCATCCCGCTATTGTGAAATTACTTACCAAAGTTGATTTTCTTTTATATAGTCATTTAAGTTTAAAAGCATATGAAGAATTTTTATACTTCTCTTTAACCCATGGCTGATTGGAGACTTCCACTTTCGTACTAGTTGTATGTGTGAAGAAGATATTTTCGATACATCTGTATCCCATATCTTCCACGTACAATAAATTACAAAGATTTCTATGATTTTCTCCGAACTCGAACTTGCAACAGTCAGCTTTATACCTACCGCCGCACTTGATTGCTGGTCTAAGTGACTTAATTATGAAGACATCGGAACTCATTAGAAAATAATAAGGATTTGAAGCTGTCGTCAACCAATCAACGACAGTGTTCCAAAGTATCCCAGCAGATATCCGTCAGCATACGCTGTAACACATTTGAATGTTTGTCTTATCTGTTTAACGGGAAAGAGCTGACAACCACAGTCGAGTTTTCTCATTCTGCAGTTAACTTTCCTAAGCCTTTTTCTACCTTCCCAAAAGGCCGATTGCGTGCCGGTCGAATTTCCTCAGGAGCGCAAGGAAGAGACGTATGTAAACTGGGGACCAAATAATCCCTTCATCTTATTTCGCGAAACTTACATTCTAATTCTACATATAAATTGGGGACCAAACCAATAGAGGTAAGGGAGCTAAGAGAAAGAACTGATTGAGCAGGTAAGTGCATTAAGAGAGGCCACCGCACAGCTTCCAGCTTTTCATTGTGACTTACTGGAAATCTTCCAGACTAGCTTTTGTAACAGAATGAAAAGCAAAGGAAGCACTAAAAGAGTGTCCAAATTTCATGTTCAGCCTTACAGAACATTATCTGAAAAAAAGGAATAATATACATATGGCAAGATAAGTAGAATTCATTATATCAATGACTCAATTGAATGATAACCAACTTTAATCACACCATATTTCGAAAGAAATATTCCTGTCCTAAGTCTGGAAGGCAGTGAAGGAGAATTGTGTTTTCAAAAGAATGGCTATGAAAAGTTTCTTTGAAAATAAAATGTCACCTTCCACTTTTAACTGGAACGGGATGAGGTTGTTGGTCCCCAATTTACGTATACCCTTCTTTGGGTCGGTCCCTAATTTACATACGGGTTACATTCTTATTTTTATTCTGGTCCCAAATTTACTTAAGCAGCAAGGAAGTTCTCACCCAGGTATCACTGCTTCCAAGATTGCCCTTTCGCTTTCATATTTGAACGTGTAAGATAAAAAGAACAAATGCTTCTTTTAATGTTGATAATTCTTTATCACTAGAATTGTAATGGTTCTGTAGAAAAAGAAAAGTTTGTTGCTTTAGAATTAAACTTGTATATAATGTTCTACATTTATAGCAAACTATTTCTACGTATATTGTGGGCATCTCCAAGAAGGAGGGGAAAGAGAACAAAAGTCTTTCCTTAATATATGCAGAATTAAAATAAGATTATTTTAGTTGGATTGTATACACTGTTCCGAAGATTCTGCCACGTACACCTGTGTACGAGGTTTCTCTATTCTGCTGTGAGAACGTCTATTTTCGTTAGTCATGAATAGAGACTTAGCAAAATTGTTTCCTCTTTCCCTGCTTCAAAACACTGGTTGAGATGCAATCCGGCTTTCACAGATATCCAAAAGCCAAAGGAGAGGATATGGAAAGCGAAAGTAGGGAAGCCTTATCGCAGGATGCAATCGGGGGATTGTCAACTAGGCCACGACGGGAGAGTAGGCTTCCGCGGCCGGAGTGATTATTTCATTGGCTGTCCGGGTGACGCCGCGTCCATGGCAAAGGTGCCAACGTTACGTGTCGCACGTTATGTCCATGGCAAAGGTGCCGCATTACGCCCTGAGGAAGGTCGCAGATTGGCAACCAAAACGTCGGTACCTTTGCCATTGACGCAGCGTCACTCGGACAGCCAATTAAATATAGGCCATATCACCTGCGGCATAAATTAGTTTATTTCATTTTACTCGATACGATATCCGAAATTAATTTATTTCATCCCGAGAAACGTGGAATATTGCTCAGACGTATAGATTAACGAAAACATTGCTCGAATAATAAGTATATATTTGCACGTGAATTCTCTAATCCATTTTGGGGATGGGATTACGTAGCCTTGATTCTAGACATTTACGAAACACCGTTTTTTGCCAAAACGGACTTACTCCACTGGGGGAGGGGAACCAAATAAATTCCATCAATTAAACATACTCATCGATTTTCTGTCGCTTAATAACCGACATTGTTCCCTCATGATTCAAGTGGAATAATAATTAGGCAAATTACACAAAACTATATCGCCATAGAAAAAAATGGCCCTTCGTGTAGTGCCATTACTTAATATCCATTTGACTTAGATATTTAAAAGATATTGTTCACTCTGTAACAAAAATTGGGAATCGGAATTATAAGTAATAAAATAGAATAAAATCATTTTTGTAAGTTTATTATTTATTATTGGTAAATAAATTAAGTTACATTGAAAATAAACTTTTTGTCGTCAATCATCAAGTAGTGCTACATACAATGCACATACACCTATTTACCTCCAAATAATCTCTTTCAGGTTATATATACATTGTTTAAATAAATTCCTTCAGAAGCCCTTGTTCACACTTGATCGTCAGGTATATTGCATGACTAAAATTCAAGGGAGTCTAGCCACACATGGAGAGTAGCCAGTTTCAAACACACAGTGCGCACAGCAAAGGAATTTACTACATTAACAATTTTTAGATATTATTTGTTTTATTTTTAAGCATTACACGCCCTACAACTGAAAAATGAAATGCTTGTTATTCTTTATTATTTCGGTTTTTATTTATTTATCAATTTATTAATGAACAGATCCACTCGCCCTCGTGGAATTACTAGGTAAAGTTAGTGTTTATTTTAAAATAAAAAGGAAATGAAGCTGGTAAACAAGATGATGTTTAATGTGAATTTCGTAGTATTAGCATGGCAATCCGTGACAATTAGAAATTAAGGAAACCTTACATGGTAGATGAGCTTAATCCACAGTATTCAGAAATACTTATAGCGCATACAAAAACATAATCGAATAGCTTTCTTTGTAATTCTGTAAATGCTTAATATATTATTATTATTATTAATAACAATAATAACAACAACAATAACAGAACAAATGCTAAGCACCGAGGTATTCGTAGGTGTACCCAATCACTAGTCATTAAGTTCATTTCTAACGGTCACGGACAGCCCTATTGATATAATACTAATACTATAATACATTAGTCGAAGTTGGAAGGCATTGCGTAATGATGTTCAACATCACCCAAGGCGTCTCGCGGCCAGCGCCCCAATCATTGCAAAGGTCATCATCCATGCGACGGAGGCCCTAGCGACAGCTGCGCTGCCAAAGCCCTTGCCCGGAACGCCCAAAGAAGGGTTGTTGCCACCCGAGCCCCTCCATATGCCGTCACCGGAGTTACACCTGTCCCAGTTGCATGCCGTGTGGTGCGTGATGAAATGTGAATCAGAGACCGTCCCGTTCAAAACTATCGGAGTGCTCACGTCACACAAGCGCGCGAAATCGTAAAGCGCACCTGAAACAAGAAACACTTCATTCGACTAAATGTATTATACATTCTAATACATATGTTCTTTGGGTAATACATAATATTTCCCATAATAAAGAGTCAACATAATAAAACCATCTTACTTTCTAGTGTATGTAGTACATAGCATCCTCCCAACTATCTCTAAAGTACTCGAAAAAGTCGTCCGGAAGCAAACTGAACAGTAAATCTTCGGAACAAATCACTTTAAACGATGCAGCATCAGGTTTCCGTTCCTGCAGAAATACTGGGAACGCACTACTAAACGTCATTGAAGACGCGAGAACAGCAATAGATAACAGTAATATAACTATTTTGGTTTTCTGGATTTCAGGCAAAGCATTTCGATAGTAGATCACGACATCCTGCTCGCAAACTAAAGATCATGGGATTTGCACAGCTCACGTGTAAATGGTTTTTAATTATTTAACTCCAGATACCCAAAGAGTGGTGTCCGGTAGCCGTAGCCAAGGGACTTGAAGTTACGCGGGTTGTCAGGCACTGGGTTAGGGCCACTGGCTTTCTTAATCTATGTAAATGACGTGGGAAATGCACTTAAATATGGCAGTCCGATCAATGTATGCGGATGATCTCAGATAATATCTAAGTGGTCCACCCGTCTCAACCTCGTTTCAACTTGTACAAAAAATTAATCAGAGATTTAATATCCCGGGCGCGGGGGGGCGGTAAACAACTGGCAAGCGTCTTTAGGCTTTATAATTAAAACCCAAACAAATCACAGTGCATGGTTTCAGCTTCGAAATGCCATTATGAATAAATAACTTCTTCTCCTTTGCCTAATATTTATATAAATGACACATTTTACCTTGGTGTTCTGAGTCAGAACCTAGATGTAGCTATCGAACACTCTCACTGGAACTCGCGGTTAGAATTAAACCTGCCGTAAGTTTTTTGCTTCAATGCACTCACTGAAACGCTGCGAAGGCACTTTTACCAGGTAGCACTCGTGCGACTCCTCATACAAATCACTAATCATGCACATTTCGACTATTGCGACTTATTCTGACCAACAGAATTCAAATTACACGTAAACTTCAAGTAAGGACAGACATGCGTAACGTTTTATTTTTGATCTAAGAAAATACGACATTATATCCGAATTTTTGGACAGAATTCGTATGCTTTACTCTAGAAAGACGGTTACTCCATCTTTACTTATTCTTTATAAGTTTAACCGTTTCATGCAACACGCCTCATAAGTAAACTTCATCTCTGACTAAATCGAGCTCGTGAATCAGCCTGCTGTGTACCATGTCACAACACGGATTCATTCCATAATCATTCACCATTACAGCTATCGACTGGAATAAATGACCAGCTGAGACTAAAACTTTAATACTTTCCGGAAATTAACAAAGCTGAATAACCACATGGGTAGGAATAACGGCATAATAGAACAGCGTAACGTCTTTCTTCATCTCCACACTTCTCCCACTTCAGCGCCCGGTCACCGCCCCTGTTAACACCTCTATTTCACCTCTCTCAACATTCTATCCATACCTCATTGCTCTCTCCTCATCTTCCATTCCTCTCACACTAAATTATGAGCTTTTATTCTTTTCTGTGTACCCTAAAATAAATTGTTAATAAAATATACAAACATATTAATGGACGTTTCAGATAAAATCATACTTGTAGCTATCTTGTACCATCATCAGGATATTCATACAATATATTGGCATAAACAAAATCGATGTTAAGATACCGCACTCTTTGTATTGTTCCTTATTGTTGCTCAGTATTGTGTTTAAAATTATGTTGTTATTAGCTTATAGTGTTGTGCTACTCTGGTGTAAAAATTATTGTATATTTATGTAAAGTGCTACTGTAAACTAAACGTAGCTTTCTGTAACGCTCCTCAATACTTTTTCGCCTAATTCTTCTTCGTCTTTTTCTCGCTTTTTTCTCGTTCCCTCTCCGTCACAAATTTTAAATCATTTATACTTTTTGATCCCTTCCCTGTACGTCTTTCTTTTTCTCTTTTACGATTTCCTTTCACTACTCAGTATAACATACTCAGTCCCTATAATGTTTCGGCCCTAAGCTGCCATCCTGATTGAGGTTTTCTGGGGTTTACTCATGCTTAAGGCGTATGCCGGGATGGACCCTAGTTTGGTCTCTCAGACGTAATGTACAGCTTGTTCCCTCTTAAAATGTTATATTCTAAATGTATGTAAATTCAGTGGTTAGGCGGAAGAGCAGACCCTATGGCCTGAGCCTCGCCATTAATAAAGACGTTATTATTATTATTTATTATTATTATTATTACATAGAATTTTCCCTAAAAATGATATCCGCCGTTCGATCTTGTCAAATACAAGACCCTGCTATTTTAAACGGATGTTTTAATTTTGAGATGTACTTTTGATGATGCCCCTAAGATATTTACAAAAGTTTATCAAAAATGGCTACATTTTTTCATTTAAACTATTCGCTCGATTAGAGAAAAGTTGCGTTAATAAACACGGACAATTTTTTCAAACCTGTTCTACACTATCTATATTGAATTTAGTTTCATTCTTGATAAATATATTTTGCAATATTAGTTCTTAAAATAATTCCATGTGCAGTTTTTCTCAATAAAAGTAATTTTCGCATAATTGTGAGTCAAATATTGATAATTTTCCACAAGTAGGAGAATAAGGGTTTCTAAGAAATATTATTTTATGTTTTACTTTTTTTACGGTAGAGCCAAATACAAGACTTAGAGTTAAATATTTTTATTAATGCGATCTGGGCATCTTAACTCTCGTACTCTCAAATTCAAGGGGTAGAGAGTGGAATAATGTTTAGCAAGTTAGATTGGTAACCTAAGTTTCAATTCAAATGGTGGAAAACTTTGTTGCGGGTTTGGAACATTCGTAGAGACATATGTTTGATAACTGAGACGATCCCCACGTGAAGCAAAGTCGCTGACCGCGGAAACAGAAGCAACAGTGACAAAGTGGGCCAAATGTTAATGCCTGTTCAGCTAGCATCAATCTACAGACAGCTGTGATCCTGAGTACGTGTTCTTTAGTCAGAAGATTGAAGGGTTACTAAATAAGTGTATGTGTTTAAGAATTATTTACTGTTTAATTTATAAATTAATTTAAGTGTTTAAATTTATATTTGTGGAATTGTTTACTTTTTAATTAGTTCTTAAAATAAATATGAGTTTGTTACCAGAAAGCTGTGAAAAATAAAATGACAATAACATTAATAATAATAATAATAATAATAATAATAATAATAATAATAATAATAATAATAATAATAATACTTAACGTAGTGAGATTCGGCCATCAGGTCAGCTCTTCTACCTAATCACGTAGTTCAAAATTTATAAATATAAATTAAAATAATAATTTTTAACACGCCGTACGCAAAACGTGGTATTTCATGTTTGTTTTCCGTGTGCGAAACAGCTAATTTATTCACAGTATGCGAAACTTGCGAAGCGTATGCGAAACATCTATAATGATTTACAAATGTTTTTCGTCATGACAACGTCTTTGTTTATTATTTAGATGCAGTATTGTTACGTTACTGACTGGAATCCATTTACTTTTGTATTTCTAGTGATTTGATATTGAATTTATATTTCTTTACTTATCGCATTGCGTTTTGCTAACGGCGTGTTAAAACATAGTATACGCAACATGGGCATGAGGTGATTCCCGCACTCCTCTCTTTGTCGTCCTCGCTACGCTCAGACCACAAACTCGACTATTTCGGACTCCGAATCACCAATTTCGCTGGTTAGGTAAACTAATAATAATAATAATAATAATAATAATAATAATAATAATAATAATTTTATGAATGGCGACGCTCAGGCCATAGGACCTGCTCTTCCGCGTAACCACGGAATTTACATACATATAGATTAGTAACATTTTAAGAGGGGAGGACAAGCTATACATTTACGTCTGGGAGAACAAATCTAAGGACCATCCCGGCATACACCTTAAGCGATTGAGTAAACCCAGAAAACCTCAAACAGGATGGCGGCTTAGGGCCGAAGATTCTGCCGAACAACGAATTTACGGAGAAAAGTGGAAGAGAAAGGAAGATAAGAGAAAGGAAACATAAATGAAAATGAAGAGGAAAAACAGGAGGAGAAAGAAGAGAGACCGAGAGGGGGGGGGCAATCTGTACATTTACGTCTGGGAGTGCAAGACAAGAAACCATCCCGGCATACGCCTTAAGCGACTGAGTAAACCCAGAAAAACCTCAATCAGGATGGCGGCTTAGGGCCGAACATTAATAGTACTGAGTAAGTTGCACATAGTAGTGAAAGGTGTACACGGTAGTGAAACTACTGTACTGAGATACGTTAAATATGGAACTTCGCTATCACGTGACAGCCGTGTTGGAAATGTTGGAATGAATTTATCAAATGGTGTTATTTGCGAGGAGATGGCTATTGGTCATATTTCCGAACCCGTATTTCTAACCCAGCCTTCCTTTGAAGCATACCCCCGGCGCGGGTCTATTTACGACCATTTTTGGAGCAGGCCGCCACGTAGGTGTACTGAAGCGCCTGGATATGATTCTCACTTTCTCCCTCAGTGGTAGGTCTCAGGTAATCATATCCAAACTGTCTGGTTGGGAGAATGTGAGATCTCGATAGGACGGAAATTAGCAGAAGAAATTAATTTTGCCGGGCACCTACCAGGGTCCTTTTACTTGGCACAAGCATGACATAGTCACTGCGTGATGGTCTTAGATCTATCGGGGAAACTCCTTTTGGGGAAAATTCTGTATTTAGGATTTGTGCTACGAACCGACTGAAGCAAACCAATTTTTCGGTATCAACGCCTCAAAAAATGCATAATTCCTTCAAAATCTCGACGTCTATTTTTGCAGTATAAATTAATATTCCCTGTACTACATGATATTCCATGATATGAATATTCCATGATAGTATGTGAGAAAGTAAAAAGAGTACGTATGTAAATTTTCGATTATGTGGTATTCTAAGAAATTTCAAACGTTAATTTCATTCCCTTTAACTATATTTATTTTTAGTGATTCTGTAATAGAAAAGAAAACGATGAGTATCATATTTTGTTAGTGACATCTCTGAATGTAATTTTCGATATGACAGTTACCTCCCTCTGCGTACTGCATACGTTTGGTTGTACAGTATCTGGCGGCGGGACAGTCCCGGAGCTCAATGCTTGTCGGATTAGTCAAACAGCTGCTCTCTTGTTCGCCTGCAAATTGGCAGACGTAACAGAAGAGACCTGTAAGAAAAAGATTGTTTTGTATGAACTTAGAACCTCCCATTTTTCCATTTTCTAAAACATATAATATTAATTCAATAATTAAATTACAAATAAAGTCTAAATTTCAAAATATAATACACTGACAGTTCTATATTTTGTGCATAAAACATTATTAAATTTTATGCTCCACTAATAATATAATATTGAAACTTCTAAGCCACTAACACTTCAGTCTTGTCTAATAAAACTCCTAAAAACTTTTTTTTTATTTTAAAAGTTAAAATCCAAACGGGTGCCTGCCATTGAACTGAGTGTATTATAATAACAATTACAGCGTGTGTATTGTGATAGAAAGAGCAAAAAAGTATTTATACATTTCACCACTTGATCACAATTGAATGTTTATCAGTTTTGAGGAATATGTTTCCCGCTTCTAAAATGTCAACTTCCGTTTCTAGCCCATAACAACTAAAAATTATGTAATTGGTACAAATTATGTTTTAACTGTTCAAAGAATTGACTTTCGCAGCCAAGAATCAAATTCGTGATGAAATGTATAGTACTATAACTTTTAAAAATATTTATGGAAAAATGTCTAACTTATAAAAATATTTATGAAAGAAGACAGCATTCACGTATACATATGAACCGATACATCAAAATTACTGCATGAACTGAATGTGCAGTTGCATTTCCAGATAGGGACTTGAAATTCAATGAAGTAATTTGAAGGTCTAATATTAAAAATAATTTGCATTAACAAAAAAATATTACATTTATTAAATGGTTTGTAACCCTTTTACGAGAAAGTTGAAATTCAATGTTTCAATTTCTTTCAATATTTAAAGAAACAATTTACATGTTTGAACTAATAAATACTAAAACTTCAAAGTACAAAAAGGGTACAAAATACTAAAAAGACAAAAACAATTCATGACATAATACTGAAGAATTTCAGCATTATGTAATTTAGAAAACTAGAATATCAAATTTTGTTAACAGTTAAAGTACAAGACACAAATAAGAAAGAAATGTATCAAAAATAAAAACGCAAGGCAAAACACGTCAGTTATTACTTAATATTTACATAACACAAAAACGAGAATAACACAATTTTAACAATAAAAATATTAAACAAATATTAGACAGATGCCATTAGCACTGTCAAATCACTACCCACTCTGCGCGACTGGCCATCGCGAGGCTCTCAAATAGCATTCGCAAAACCTCTGGTAAGAACAGTTGATTATTTCGTGTTTACTGTCGGGATCATTAGTCCCATAAGTGTAGTGCAAGTTGTATTACGGAAGTGATTGTATTCTTCTCTCGGTGAATGGTGAGATCTGGCGCCGACCTATACGTCAGCAAGTGGGGGTTTTCTTCAACCAGGTGCCTCCTACTAGCGCGGCCGGCCCGCCCCACCCCAGCCGGGACAAACTCTAAGCTCCTGACTGGTCTCCCGACGTACGTGGCAGTGAAGAAAAGATCGCGCGCGGTTCTTGGTCGTTCCTTAGGGTATTTCTTCGGCATTCGCTAGGAGGTTGTCGGGGAAACCAAGGAAATCTACGGATTAGAGCAGCCAGCCGTTGGAGTTCTCGCCGAGACAACTGATGAATTCGTCCTAGACATCTAGCTAGTATCGAAAATCCTGCCACTGGGAACGCGTGTACCAGCGCTCGCGCCCGGGCTCCCACATTTTCGCAAAGTAGAAGCAACGCGCACTTAGTAAATCTATTTTGACATCATATTCCCATCGCTCACGTTTTGAGATCTCATTTTTCTAGTTGTGGTAGGAGTACAACCGATTGTATCAGGTTAGTATTTTGTTAGCAGTACTAAAAAATCAAAGCTGTGGTACTTTTATCAATGCAAATATATTTTGTATAGCTCGAGAGCAAAAGTGTCTAGTTTTCAAAAGTTGCTAACCTCGCTTTGTTGATTCTATTTTCCTCATTAAACAATTAATGATAAAAGGATGGGGAAGGTGTTTAGGAGCTCAAGAAAAATTGCGCAAATTGTACTTCTCTCCTATACGTCACAAAGTTTTTTAGCTTGTTTATTCCCTAGCGAAAATCAAATAAAGTAAATATATAACAATTTTCAATATATATTAATAATGCAATATCTTGTCTTTAGACATTCTAGTTTTTGAATAAATGTAAATTACAGTCATTCGAATGTGACACAAATAATGTCTAGTGGTCCTCAGCAGCAAAAATTGTTTTACAAAATTAGCGAGCACACTGCTCGAGAACGACAAATAAAATACTCACGTATAACACTACAATAAATTAAATAGGTTCGTTTAAAAAAATAACGAATACTGCCATAACCTAAAGTAGTATACATGGATACACAGTACAACAATTTTTTACATATCAATAATATCAAAGAAGTAGCTGTTCCATAAAGGCATCGCGTCATAACTTTATGAAATATTAAATAGCGGGTGTCCCCTTCTTTGGATTCTTCAGGCCCCATGACGTTGACTTTGTTGCAAGAAGTGGCGTACTGAATATGAGAATTGAGTCGAATCCCGCAGTATGGCATAGAGGCGGAAGAACACAACCAAATATGTACTTTTCAGTCAAAATCAAAACAATGTATACAATTATTATATTTTTCAGGAGTTTCTGAGTATCTAACGATACCAGAGACATATCTTGCAAGGCTGCAGGCTGCAGCACACATTAATTTCTGGATCTGAATGTAAAAAATGGAATTTTTATAATAAATCCGGAGGCATTTTTTCTCGGAAATGTGGTTTAACCCCGGCCCTGCTGGGAGATGGAAACTCGAATATGGATTGTAAGGACCCGTGCAGATAAATATCGTTCTCAGCCCGCTCGGCGCGCCGTAGTTTATCTCTCTAAACTCACTTTCCAAATTTTGTGACTTACCGCTTACGCAGAAGAGAGAAAGTTATGTAAAGCTGCATGAAAAAACGGCGAATTTTCGGAACAAAAACTCTTATTACAGAGCCCTAGTAACGAATACGTGGTACAATTTAATTGCTTAATTTAGAAAAAAATCCTCTAACACGTAACGTAGCCATAATCCATGTTTTATGGGTCCTTGATACCGTTAAATTGATTGACGGCAAAACGTCTGTCCATCCGTCTGTCAGTGAATAACGCAAGCGGCTAAACCGTTCAGCCGATTTTCTCCAAAATTGATATTTCCGAATAATCTTGCTCATGTCGCTGTCCCTTGGATTTGAAACCGTTATTTCAATTTTGGGAGTATTTTACATGAATCCCCTGGGACATTTTCCAAATTGTCCAAATTTTCAAAAAAAACAACAAAAACGTGGCTCCATCGTTTTTAATAAATTTTGTTGTTGATTTGTGTGAAGGACCTTTAAAAGAATAGTGTAGGTCTCATTTCCGTTGAAAAACTCGGATATTTTCAAAATTGCAAAATTTCTAATTTTTCGGCGTCTTCCTCCAACTACAATTATGAGCAATTTCCAAAAAAATATGCATTTCAACGAAAATGAGACCCGTGCCATTTTTATAAACGTACTATGCTCTATCCGAGTAAAATGTTTAATCACAAAGTTTCGTGGCATATTTGAAATAATTTTCAATGTTGGTGAGGCTCCATGTAAAGTACCCTCAAATATCAAAATATCCGTTTCAAATTTGCAGGGCCTCCAGGTCGGTCGATCGGGGAATATCAATTTTTGGAGAAAATTGTGTCAACGGTGTAAATGATGTCTACAAACAAAAAGACTGACATTTGGATGGTTTTCTATAAACCAAGTTTTCGTTTTGAATGTCCATTAAACATATATTCTGCTGCCTACACTACTTTTAAGAGGAAGTAATTTACTATGTATAGGAGCATGATTTATCCACTTTCTCAATATCAGAGACCCATCAAGCTAGTTTTTCTTCCGAAAATTCGCCACTTTCCACTGCTGTTTTATAGTAATTCCCCTTTGCTACGTAAACATGTATTAGGCAAGAAATTATTGTTGTGTAAGTACGTAGTAGGCGAGAAATTGAAAAGGAAATAGGGTTACAAACCTATACAATGTGGCTAAGTCTTGAAGGTATGGAACATCATTAGCGAGAGTTAAACGATATTCCGATCAACATCAATTTTATTCGTAGCATGAAAACTCGAGCAACATGATATAAACAATCTCGCAGTTTATTCCAGCGACGAAGCCGAGCAATAACTAACAATGTTCGAATGACTTGCATTAATAAAAGTTCGGGTAAATTTATAATTAAATATTTCCCAACCTTTACTGTATTGGACTTTCTCTGTTTTCTCTGTTTGAAGAATCCATTTCTGATGTTTCGCCCTTGAATTTTGTCACACTTAGTATAATTCTTAGTACCTTTAAAAAATCAACCGTCCGTGGATGAATATGTTAACATTATTGTGTTGACATGTTTATCTACGCGGCTCGCGCATATCCTCCGAAGTTGGAGTGAGTGTGTGTATATACCTTTATAGGGGAAAAAGTAAGTTCTCTCACAATTCTAGACGTCTAGAAACTAGAAAAATTTAAATACGTGTTCATCTTCTTTTGATCAGGGTAATGTGCCATGCTGTGCCACGGTAAGTGACTCGTTATTTGAGTGTTAATTGACAATCAAGCAACAAAAATAAATTAGCTGATTGTATATCAATTAAAATTCTGAAGCTACCACCTGAACCTTAAGATTCGTTATATTTTTTCTATGACAGTTATCATGATAGATCACACTGAAATGTCTGTATAAACTTTATTTTAGTAAAAGTGCAATGTTAATTGAGATATTACCAGATTGTACTAATAAAAAATAGCTAAATGCCTCAAAACCATATAAAAACATTCACTTTATATCTGCGTAAAATTGTTGGTAAAATGTTTTCTTCAAATTACGTTTATGATTGGATAATTGAAAATCAGCTTTAAATTAACACATAGAGTCTTCCCGATAATATTATCATTATTCTTGTCAGATAATTAAATTTCCAACTTTCTGTCAATTTCCTTCTCAGTGTGAAACCAAAAACACACATTTTCGTACTAAGTAGTATTAATTTTTAAAGAAGCCATGAAAGTACTTTTGCCAAGGTTTCATTTAAGTGCATTTGTACTTATTATTCATGGTATGAATCTAGAACTTGAAAGTAGAACCATTAATAAGTGCGGATTATCTTAAATCAATTTGACCAAAAAAAGGAATGTGAACTGTCAATTTTATAATTGTGAGAAAAACAAAAAATATGTTCACAGAGTTATTTCTGTATACTTGAGCATAGAAAATATTATTATTATTATTATTATTATTATTATTATTATTATTATTATTACTACTATTATTATTATTATTATTATTATTATTTCCATTATCTGCATCGTATAGTAAATGTGATTTCAAAAAATATTTAGAAAACACATCTTGACTGTTGACTAATATTCTCGTTCTTATTTCTACGGTCACTGACTGAGAATAACTACACATTCAAACATTTTTTTAAAAAATATATTATACTCGCACATCGGCGTATATCCTTTGTTAAACCACTCCAAAAATAATGAAACAAAACTATGAATAAAGTTTTCTTTTCAGGTGTACTAAATAACCATCATTCTCGCAAAGTATTGATAAAAATATTCTAATTCCATTGCAACCTACTTATGTCTCCAATTTACTTTCAGCGCACAAAAATACCAATACGTACAGTACTGTTTAAAAAATTAACTAAATAACGGTGTACTGTTTTAGAAAAATTCGAGTGTCCATTCTTATTAAAGCGTACTTATAACGTAAGCTTTTCAATTGTGTTTGTAAATAAAGAGGTTGAAATCATACATTGTCACTGCATACATGACAATCAATGAATGACAATACTGAAATCATACATGTCACATACATTGTCAGAAGAAGTTTAATTCTCGTCGTAATTATTTTCTCGTGGTTATGGTCGGCTCAGAAAAAGTCATAAAAGTTAATACCCTCCACAAAGCAAGTGAATCAATGGATCTATTTTCACATAGAAACAATATTACATATTTATTTACTCTCCTGCACATCATTTTGGTATCATTGGTTTAAAAAATAGTTTTTCGTTCGTTGAATAGTATTTTTCACTTAAAACATTACAATTCGAAATATTTTCCCTCCCGCGTCCCTTCTTAACAAAGTGTATCCTCTTTAACAAAGATAAGTTTGAGCAAAAATAATAAATGGTCTTACCATCGCAGTATGCTGCTGATAACAGCACAACCGCCGCAATCCACAAAGCCCGTTGGCACAACATGAGTACGATCAGACACGATATTCGGACGAACGCTTCCCTGAGAATGAAGCGGAATGCCACGGAATGCTCTGTGCCATCTCCTTATCAGTGTCATCGCTCCAAAAGATAGTCCCCCCTCTCTCCGATAACCGTGATAGTTGCCTCATTGGTAAGCGAATATTCGTACACGCTTTCACCACACGTAGAATATACCAGGACAGCGCTTTGCTGCCCTAGGTATATCTACATCTCCCCTTTGTGTGCTACACTCGTAGGAGCGGAAAGCGGTGCCTGCGATTTATCAGTAATATTGCTCATTGATCATAAGAAAAATATTTCATCTAATTTTTTTGTTAAAGCACCTGACTCGGATATTTTTTTTTTTTCATTTCTGAGGTCACTTCATATGAACCCGAATAATGAACTAAGTATAAGCAACCTAATCACCATTTTTTTCAGTTTTCTAAAAACCAAAGAAGTAACCGAACATGGAACTAGGGCAATTTTTATAAGCCCTCTTTGCTCTTTTCGATAAAAATGTTAAGAAAAATTTGGAACTGGTTTTGAGAAATAAGCTATGAACCACACAGTCTCAGGCTGGATAAGATGGCAAAAAGTGCCCCAGTTTGAAATTTAAAAAAAAAACATATTTTCAATTTCTAATCATGATGAAAATTAATTATATGATATTTTTATATTTAGTTTATTTTATTATATTTAAATTATTTATATGAAATTTATTTATGTGAAATTTACTCACGTTTAAAAAAAAAAATTTAAATTATATTTGCCCCGAAATTCAAAATTTTAAATGGATTTTAAAGTTTTGAATTTTTTTAAAAGAAAGTATTATTCCGCCAGGTACACGAGAAAATTCTGAAATGTTGCCCTAATGATCAGCTATCTTCTGATTTTTTTTCAGATTTTTCTGATTAGTGTGCTATGTCCAAAAAAATTAATATACCTCTATTTGTCTCATTATTTTCATGTACATTGAACTGTATAGAGGTGAGTAATTACAATATTATTTTCCAGTGGCAATATTTAAAATATTAAAAGGGTAATATCAATTTAGTAGTTTACGTAATAAGGGCACCAAACAGGTGATTTACGCACGAGTCGACTGCGGGAATCACCTCGCTCCATTATTGCATACTTTTTTGCAATATGCATTATTGCAATAATATAATAAATATTTGCATTATTGCAAATATGCAATATTGCATTTACATTATTGCATACAATCATATTTTTAACACGCCGTGAGCGAAACGCAGTGTGTCAGGCACACGCTTCGCGATGTTTCGCACACTGAAAAAATAGCTGTTTCGCTCACGGAAAGAGAGTCGCGTTTCGCGCACGGCGTGTTAAAAATTAGTTTTGTTATTTACATCGGTAAATACGTGCTTATCAATATCCTTAGCTACCAACCATCGAAACAACGCATTAAGAGCGCGTCCATAGCAACGGCCGTAATAATACTAGAGAGTCCTTTAAAATATTTTAGCGGAGGCTTGGGGTTACATTTCACCAATGGTTATAAATCTTTGGATAAATGTCCCTTTTGTCCCAAATAACCTCTTATCCTTATCATGCATTCCGTCCCTTTTCCCCCCCATGTCCCTTTTATCCCACTTTTTACCTTTTCCGTTTGCCTTATCGGCTCGTTTTGTCTCGATGACCGACGTATCCCATTTTGTCCCTTGTCCCGCTTTTTTCTCCTGGTACCATTTTGTCACATTGTCATCTTTGTCCCCTCGTCCAACTTTGTCACCTTATCCCACATGTTTCTTTGACCCGTCGTCTAATTTGTCCCCCTTTCCTCATTTTGTCCCGTGTTTTGCCTTTTCCCATTTTGTCCCCATTGTCCCATATTGACCCCATGCCCTTTATGTCCTTTCCGTGCTTTGTCTCACTTGTTCTTTTGGTTGTTCCATGCCCAGTGGTTTTAATTTAAAAACGGTACCAAGACCCTGTAGCATCAATCCTTGCTAAGGAACATCGAGAGTAATGACAAATTTTAACTCATGAAACTGTTAAACATTCATTTTAAATAACCAGAATAACTAGAAATAACAAAATACATTGTATGTAAAACGTGCTCTATTAGTCATTAAGGGCTTGTTACATTAACAACTATTGCTAATAATATTTGATCGTAAGATGTACCCGCACCAGATGGTCAACATTTTTTTAAATTTACTTTAAATTACGTGAGAGGTTCAAACAATTATAAATTATAGAAAATTGACTGAAATTGAAGTGAAATTTTTTTGAGAATTTGGGATGTATTTGTGTGTACTAACAAAATAAGTAGCTGATAAAACATATTTTATGTTTAAATAATAAAAATTGTCCACCATCTAAGTGATAATGTTGCGCAATTACACCAAAAGAAAAAGGAATGCAGTTATAAGAAAAAACACCCAAAGTTACGTGCTCAAAGTAACAAAGAACTGGATTATTTTATGGGTCTTCCGGGGCACTCTGTGCTCGTCCTGCGAGCAATGTTTCGGGAGATAGAGGTTGCAATTTAAGTATATCTTAATTGCATCTGAACTGCACTCTTATTAGATAATTAAATTTAAGAAATACATTTAAAACATTAGCTCGTTCCATTTCTGACAAGTTATTGCTTGCATAAATTCTTGTGTTTTTGCAGCAAAGTCATGGACTAAAATGTGCGTAGCGGGACTTCCTTGAGCCAAAAGAAAGTCTGGAGCATAGTTCGCCGAACTATGCATTTTTTCGTAGGGTGCGGAGAGTTCCTCTGCAATCACATTTCGAGACGTAAACATCTCTCCATTCTTCTTGCCACATGTCATCACGTCTAGTGTGGAGAATTATTCGCTAAATAAAAGGTTATTCATCACCAGAGCGCTTCGCGCTTTTGGAGTAATCCTCCTTTAAATAATTCGAAGGAGTAATCCTCTATTAATTAACATAGTCCATCGTAATTTGTTGCGTCAACTCATACGCAACACGTCTCCAAGTCCCTTGGGGGCATTGAGCTCTTCGCGCTTTTGGAGTAATTCTCCATTAAATAATTCGCGGGAGTAATCATCAATTAAATAACATAGTCCATCACGTTTCGTCTCTGTCAGTTGTCAAGAGGACCGCCAGATAACATATTTGCGTACGCGCCTCTCTCTTACGCGCACCTGTGTCACTACCCATCGGCCAGAATTGGGAAGCAATAAGTATAGGGGTAAGGTTTAGCATGCTTCACATGGGTTGGACTAGCCCCTGTGAAGCATACAAACCCGTTTTATCGTAACAAATTTCACATGAGGTTCTACTGGGATTCTACGGGAATCTAACTATGGGAATCTAACTATGAATCTCGGTGGTGAAAGGCAAGCGACTTCGCCACTGAGCCACGAGAGCATCTAGCTTGAATTCAAAGTAGCAACTTCGTCTGTACGTGGAGGTCGTCATCAACATCAACCCTATATGGGGCAAAACCGCGAAAGGATAGATGCGTGGTGAAACTAGACGCGCCTCCTGTAAGCAGATTATTATCAAAGACGTGTAACGGGTCATCAAGAGTTTTTGTTCGAATTTAAATGTTTTTGTGACTTCGTGGTAGATACTTTTCCAGCGGAGGACATGATGAACGGTGAACGTTTCTAGGGGGACGATCTCCGCCCATTCCATACTGTTCTATTAGCTCACGATTTCCAAAATCTGACTCTAGTGATTCAAGTCATCCACGGACGATAGTGTTGCCCTCATTACTAAGACTTTCTTCAATACTCAGAAATACAGGTCTTGCCTTCAACACCATGATGGACATAACACGTTATTTCCAGCCCTCAAAGCCACGTGATCTGACTTCTCCATTCTTGATGTTTTCGCGGAAGTGAGTCGACTCCTTCTATTGTGAGATGATAAGGGATAAATGCATAGATTTAACACATTCAGGTCGTTGACCGTAGAAGCATAGACGGTACGCGTAGAAGGTACGGGCGGCGACGGGTCGCCTTAATTTACGACGCCCGGCAAATCTACGGGCGCGCCATTCATTCTATATAGTATTTGCTTCTAAACATTTTTTTCATTCATTGACTATTCATGGAGGTTCCTTCATCAATAAAATACCTCAATACACTACTAGATATCGTTTGCTGCCATGTAATCGGTAATAAATAGTTTTGGAATTCACTGACAAGCATGCCTTGTGCATCGACGCCTAAGGACCGCTGTTCAAAATTATCACACCTACGAATTATTGGGAATAAAAAGTAATGTTCTTTCTTCATTATTTCAACAAACACAAGAATGTAATGTTTTGTATCGTATATTCTAATATTGACAGAATTTGTGAGAATTTAGTTAAAATAAACATGTTAAACTTTTTTATGACTCAATTTTTTGTATTATTTATATTTTAAATATCTTTGAAATTATTAACGTAAGCATAAAAATTGGATTTTCGTATAAAGGTACAAGATTGTTGCTTTAAGATGAAAGATGATTTTTCTTCTATGATTATTGGTTTGGAAGATATGACCCTTCTCTCAAATATACCTCCTTACCTTATGACCTATGGTGGAAAAAAATTGGGTAGAGGCTACGATCTGAATCAGTTAAATGAATACAATGATTGATTTTGTTAGTTGTCAGCTTGAAATTTTGGAAGAACGCATATTCAGGAAAACTCCATTGGATGAGATGCAACCGATATGTGCAGGAATTCTTTCGAATCGAGTGATATTTGTGATGACACAAAAGATGTAAGAGGAGAGCGTGATTGTCCTGTCCCTTCGAAATATATATTCTTTTTCGTTATATAGTTGCAATCACGTCTTTTTTATAAAGCTGCAGTTCTTAATAGCAACGCAACACATAGTCATATCAGAGTTACCCATTTATACTTAGAGATTGACTAAGAGCTGAGTTATACTACATTCATACTTCGAATATTTTTATATACCATTCCTGTTATTTGTTTTCTTCGCCGTCATTTGTTTACATTACATACATTATTACACCGCTACACGTTACTTTGGTTGTTATCATACATTACAATTTCCTTGGGTTAAACGAGATAGTCATGTTTGCTGCCAACTGTGAGGGTACAAAACCCAATCGACTTTTCGCAAAAAGGAGGCGTGAAAAATAAAGCATCGTATTTACGAAGAAATCGTTGTTTCCTTACTATATTTTATTATGAAACGTTCATATTGGCATTAATTCGAAAGAAAGTGTCAACTTGTCGACAAAAGTTTTGTCATGTCATTGTTTCTGTTTTTAACGTGTGTCTTGGCAGCATTGTTTAGGTTGATTCGTGGCTCTTAACTTCAGAAATACACATTCGTGTATATTGGGAATTGGATCAAAAGTTTGGTTCGCCATAATTGTTTATTTGTTTCCAGTATCAATTTTGTGAGTTTTGTTTATAGTGCAAGTGTGACATTCTGTTGGATTCATTACGTTACGCAACTTTATCCTGTTAGTGTTATGTCAATTAACAGTGCAAATTTTGACTGATAGTTAAAACTTCATTTCTTGAATTGCTGATTTTGTTTTGAAATTGTTGTTTAGTGTACCATGCCGTGGAGCGATCAGAGTATAGAAGAAGCTATTCAGACAGCCAAAACAAGAAATGCAATTTTTGTTGTATATGTAGAAGGTTAGTAATAGAACACCTAATGTGTTGCAGCTACTCAGAGTTTAAAATATGTTTTTTCTGGTTTGTTAGCATCACCCTAGCCTTGTGATATTGTTACATATATTGTTTGTTGACTTATGTTGCAGATGACACAAAGCCTACACCGCTTCATAGCATTATAGAATCCCCTGAGGTGTCAGCTCTGCTTATGAATGAACGTTTTGTTGCAATTCGAATTCGTAGTAGTGATCAAAGCTACAGAGATTTTGTAGCAATCTGTATCCTTTTGTATTGAAACAATTATACTTGCATTTGTGTATTTGTATCTTTTTGCAGTAAGTATCATACGCAATTGAGAAGAACCAAAGTATGTAAGGGTAGCACCATTGAAGACTGACTGTGTAAAATATTTTTTTTGAAGAGGTATAAAACATATATGTTAATTAACATTGACCTGATAATGATCAACATATTTTAGAATCCATTTATTTGAGGTATCTAGGGACATAAATGTTTGTCTCTAATTGCACTGAAAATAAAATTTTAAAAATTGGCTAATGTATCCATCACTTGTTCTAAGAGTTCTAAGAGAGAGAAGTGAAATGTGCTGGTTCAAAATTTGTAAACCATTTGTCTCTATCACCTACTGTTCTTTAGATATAATCCTTTAACAATTTATATTTCACTAGAACAGTTATGAAATACTAATGAGCATAGCATTAGTTAAGAAAATAATGAGATTGAGTCACATGATACATATGGTATGTTGTAATATCTAGTTCAAGATTTATATACATAAAATCTATACCCTCTGAAAGCACTTCTTTAACCCAATGTGTGTTTCATTTGAATTTCTTGGCGATAGAATTGTGAATTTGTGTTGAGCATTTGAGATGTCATGCAGTATCCAGTAGTAGTCGGCCAACATTGCTGCACTTCACTGGCCCTGATACCATGGGTAGTGTGAATAATAAAGAAGCATTTGTTCAGTCTCTTTTCATAAGCATGACCATTTGGTTTGAAAATGTTCTCCAACCAATAAGCATATGCTCAACTTTGTATAAATGTCGAAGTGATGGGTATATTCTCATGGCAAATTGAGAATGTTCTCGTTTGTCTATGTAGGTGATGCACTTTTATTCCGATATGCACTGTTTTACAACTTTGTGTGTTTTATCTTATCTCCTTTGCGTTTTGCCGGTGCTGCTGTTTATAAAGTCTCTCTTAGTTTGTGTTGAGTATTTTTCGATTTCAAGTCTCAATTTCACGCTTAATGGAGCAAACAAAATGTGGAAGCGTTATTTCAGTTGTCTCAAATGTGGCTTTGATAACTCGCTCTTGAGGAATTGTTATAAACCCTTTCTGATGAGTTCGATGATATTAAACATGAGCAATACCAAAACCTTCATTTCAAAGAAGCAAGGCATTGAAATTGTTAATTTTCATTATTTCATAAATGTCAAGACTTTCATATTCTGGAGTATTACATCAATTCAGACCTGGTAACATTTACACTAGCAATCCTATTCACATTTACCTATATTACATTTTTGTTTGAATACCCTTTTCCATTTATTCATTCATTCCCAATGATTGTAGAATTTTAATAGGAATGAGATAGAGGAAATTAACCTGTATTTATTCTTGCACTTCATTTTTACTTGCCCATATACGTACGTATATACAGAGTACACAGTCCGTCCCACAGAAAAGGTGACTGATGTGAAATAAAATACAAGAAGTTGGTTGTTCTTAGTGTACATGCTTTTTTATTCAAAATAGTCTCCTTGCAAGTCAATACACAACTGGAAGCGATGGAAAAATTGTTCAAAACAATTCTGATAGTCAACAATTGGAATTGCCCGCAGGATCGTTGTCGTAGCCTTCTGGATATAGGAAATCCTGTCGAAACGCCATCCTTTCATGGCCATTTTCAGTTTGGGAAATCGCCAGGAGTCGCACGGAGCTAAATTGGGCGAATAAGAAGGATGGTCAAGAGCAACAATACCTTTTTCAGCCAAGAACGGCGAACGATCTTGCTTTTGTGCACTGGAGCATTGTTGTGCATCAAACACCAAGTTCCTTGGTTGCGGTATTCAGGCCTCACCCGAACAATCCTCGACCATAAACGAGTTAGAACACCCAAGTAGTAATGTGTGTTCACCATTTGACCTTTTGGAGCAAATTCTTTATGGATAATTCCTTTGGAATCAAAGAGAACTGTGAGCAGTGTCTTGACCCGACTTTTCTGCATTCGCACTTTTTTCGGTTTCGGAGATTCTGGACCTTTCCATTCCGAGCTGTGGCGCTTTGTAAGTGGCTCTTATTGAAAACACTGTGTTTCATCGCCGGTTACGATGCATGGCAGGAAGTCTGCGTCCTCATCAGCCGATCGTTTCATGTCTCTGCAGTGTACCACTCTGCAATGCTTTTGATCGTCCGTGAGTGCGTGGGGCACAAAGTGACAACAGATCTTTTTGCCCACATTTTCAGTCATTATGCAATGCACAGTTGTTTTAGGAATTCCAGTGAGCTCCTCGGTTAACTTGTAGATGCACAACGATCATTTCGAAGAATTTCAGCCACTTTTTGAACATTTTCTTCGACTCGAACTGTCGCTGATGCTCCTGGACATGGATCGTCTTCAATGCTCTCTCTTCCATCACGAAATCTTGCATACCACTTAAAAACGTTTTTACGACTCATTGTTTCACTACCATAAACACATAGTATAATTTCAAAAGTTTCTGTGTCACTTTTACCCACTTTGAAACGAAACTTGTTGTTCACACGTTGCTCCATTGCTCTTTTCACAACCGAGGGTCAAAACATACTGTTGCAGTTTTATTTACTGCGAGCAGTCTGTGTGTGTGTGTGTATATATATATATATATAGATAGATAGATATATATATAGATAGATATATATATATAGATAGATATAGATATAGATATATATATAGATATATATATAGATATATATATATAGATATATATATAGATATATGTATGTAGATATATATAATCACTAGTTCCTAAACCATGTGTAGGATTTTTTCGAAATTAAAGAATCTCATGTCCATCTGGCTTGGTCAAAGCTTTTAAATTTTGTAAAAAATTCTTTAAAATTTAGGGTACTTTACATGAAGCCACCCGAACATTTAAAAACTTTTCTCAATTTTTTTTCTGTAAATTTCTTGTAAGAATTGATTAAAATACACTTACATAGGTGGCATAAGTCCAATTTTCATCTCTGAATTTTTGATAATTTCAAAATTTTTCAGGGGTCTTTCGAGAACTACAAAATTGAAGATAGAGATTTTTTCCTTTAAATGAAATTTGTTCTCCATAGCGAATTCTTTCTTTAAGGTCTTTTAAAGTATATTATTATTTATACTCAGTGTATTTTTTCAAGATATAGCAAAATAGTTTCATTTCTCTCTTTAAGATGGGTAGAATATCCAACCAGTACTGATGCTTATTTGTTTCCATTGTGTAATAATAATGCTTTCAAACTTGTTTCAAATGAGTTGATGAACAATAGCCATGCTTTAATGTTGTGTTCCACCCCAAGGCACCACATGAATTGAATTGAATTGAATTGATTTTGCCTTATTTTACGTGGCGAGACTTGGGCCATCAGGCCTGCTCCATCAGGCCCGTCTCACCACGCAAATTTCGCTACGCTCCTTTCATCTAGCAGAGAAAGGAGGTATTTCTTGGGCGAGAAACAGGCGATTTTGAATTTAGCTCAGAGGCGTCATTTAGGCTTGAGGATCTTTCACATGCAAGTAAATCTCTCCCCTCCGAAGGAAGGCGTACAAAGGATTTTGTTGCCCTAAAAATCCATGGCTTCGATCGGGTTTCAACCCGCGAGCTTCGATATAACAGTCCGGTACGCTAACCGTCACACCCTCGCCGCCGCCACATGAGACCTTGAAGATCCATATATTAACAAATAGTGTCACTCATTGCAAAGAATATCACAAATTCTTTGTATTTGTGGCAAAAATGTAAAGTGGTTGTACTTGGTACAAGCAAATTAAATTCTTTAAAGCATGAGCCGAGTAGTTCAGATATACTTTTTATTAGTACTAGGTCCTGTGCAAGGTCACAAAGATCAGCATTGTCAATTGAATACTTTCTTTAGATTGGTAGTCAGGTTCTGATACATTGCTGGAATATGAAAGAGAACTGTCTTCTTGCGCTACATCAACTGTATATTATGTAGGTGCTATTGGGATTGGACAAGCGACAGGAGCGTGTGGAATTCGTTTAGAAACTCAAGGAATGCCTGGTTACTTTATAGATGCACAAGTTGTGTAAGAAAATCCGGTCACATATGACAAACTCAAATAACAGTCTATGGTATGCTTGCTTGTCTCATGCCATATTATAAGAACTCCAAAAGCCAGATGGTTGCTCTTTGCCTTCCTTACCCCCACCATGCAAGTTGCACGCACTTGTCAATTTATCAGTATCCACATTTGAATTGAAGTATAGTTCATATACTTTCTACAGAAACAGTGTAAATGTCTTCCGATTGGATTGGTCCGTTAGATAGTTGCACTCATAGCAAAACAGATCTGGTAAATATAAACAACATCTGCACATCGTAGTATTGCTTTAAACTAAAAATAAAAAAGAAATAAATGAAGGTTAGTAATGCAATATTGAATACGTTTTTAAGTATAAGCTTAAATATAACTATTTTCCCAGATTTTGTTTCAAAAACTTACCCCAAAACAGTACTCATACATGGTAACTTTTCATAAAAATCATTTACAATTTATGAAGTACATATTAGTACCTTAATTAGAGATGCCCCATATCGGGTGGCATTGCCAACAACGTTTTAAAAAAATTGATGAACAGGGTGCCAAGAAAATTAAATTTTGTTATCTTCAAAGCCTGAGAAGGTAAGAGCAAGATTCTCCAGAATTTATATTCCCCAATCATTGTGACAGATGTTGTGGCTTCTTGAATTTGAGTCGGATATTTCATTATTTTGGGAATATTTTTCATACTTTAAATTACCGATTGTCTTTCATATAATTCATGATTTATTAGAACTCTATTCATTCTGCTAATGAAATTGGACAGGATACCATAATCCAAATAACTACTTCGCTGTAAGAAAGACACTGTGTCAGATACCAATATTGCGACTTTCGCGTAGCCAAAAAGCGGAGGAAGGTTGCAGCATGCAAAACCCATATATTTCGCTGATCAAAATATTTTTTCCAACATTTTGCAATATTGATTCCCTTGTAAGAGAACATTCAGTAACAAGTGATGTGTGTGATAGAGTTCTCCTTTTAATATCACTATGTTCCTCTGTTATTAAGATTATTTACTGCAATCCAGTGAAATCGCCATTTAATGATTACTGGTAATATTATATATTATGTTATAATAAACTTGTCTGCAAAGATGAAAACTTTCTGAACGTTACTGATAAAATACCTAAAACTCATGAAACATTGCTCGACTGTTGAATTCGTTTTCTACAGCCTGTCCAGTATTCCGTGATACAAATATAAGTTAATATATGTTTTTTATTTCAGTGTTGCTGCCTCAACATAATTAGCATTTTTATTTGATTTAGTATTATGTGATGAAGGTTATCGATATGGAATATAGTTAGGGCTGCTGACAAAATTTGGGCTCTGATACAAAGGTGTATGTGGTCCTTAAATAAAATTGTCCAGACGTGTATATTGTTCTTTTTAATTTTTTTTTTTAATATACAAGTGATAACATTGATATATGAGTATTTAGATAAGACTTAGTACATCCTTTGGTGCTCAGCTGTTCACAACAGCTCATAGCTTTTGCAGTGCCTCAGAACATGACATAACATACTTTTTCCCTCATATGACTTTCAATTATGAAAATATATTATTTTGAAAAAGATACTGTCCAATAAAAATTAAATGAATTAAATAAATGTTCAAATTATAAGAAAAATTATGTGACACATGGAGCTTAATTGACTCCCCATGAGCGCAATGAACCCCAGAGCAATGTAATGTACCAACTGCACATTCACCCCCCTCCCTCGGCTACAGTTGTTGTGAACTTCATTTTGAAATGTTACCCTTCAGCACCCCATTCCTCTATGCGAGGGAAGTGTGTTTCAACAGTAACAGTAACAAGAACAAATTTATTCAAAATCTTTAAAGCAAGGTGTAAATCAGAATTTCTGCTTCGTGTGTTTACTTGCATGTTTGTTTAAGATATTTTTCTAATCTGCTGAGGTTTTTACTGATCTCTTTAATAGATTTTTTCTGCACAATATGCTAGAAGTTACAAGGTTTTTAAGTAATAAATGAATGTTTGAATTAATTATATTTCTTAACATAAGAAGATCAATTGGTGCCAATACCATCCCTATTTTTTATAGGCCACAATGGATGGCCTTTGGAAATAATCAGTGGTGAATTACCTCAAGCAGCTGTTATTCAACGCATTCAAAATATTTTAGGACAATCAGGTTAGTATTGTTTCTATCTTATGTATTTCAATTTTATTAAACTCAATTTCAATGAGGTATTAAATATTGTATTGTCAAGTTAAAAGGAAGAGGAGCTGTCTTTTAAATAATATATTGAATTTTATAATAGAAAGTAGGGAATTAATCTTAAGAGATTCTTTATATTTTCCTCTGATTTGTTGCTGTATACATAAGTGAATATATTTCTGGCTTCAGATGAAAATATTGGTGGTTCATCTTCAACTGAATCACGAGAATTAAGTGTTCTGAATGCACCTGAGGATTCACCTTCTTCAACTTGTGTCTCTGCAACTACTTCTGCCACTTCTACATCTGTGCCTCAAGAGCCTGAAACAAGTGGAGATGTGAGAGAAAATGTTGATACAAACTCCTCTGATCCAGAAACAAGCAGTGGTGTATCTGGTAGTACCAGAAGTGATGGTTGGAACCTTCCCTCGCCAGATGATAAAGCTCCCAGTAAAAATTGTAACCAAAATATACCACTAAGTGACCCAATTAGTGCAGCTGGAGTGAGTGAATCATCTTCTTTTAAAAAGCAAGAACAAAAAAAATCTGCAGTTCAGAGTTCTAGTAGTGAAAACAAACCTGCCACAAATCCTTCTTCATCAAGCATTAGAGATATACCCCGGCCTCAACCAAGACGTATACAAGAAGATTCAAAGTCACGCTTGCTCAGTTCAGAGGAGAGAGCACGACATCCGCTAGGACGAGTACCCAGTGTTCCTCATCCTCATGTTTCTCCAAGTAAGTGTGTTCTTGGTGATTATTGTAGGTTAATTTGCATTTATCTGATCTTCAGAAATGCCCCAGAGGCGTAGGCAAGAATAGTCTTCTCTATTTAAAAACATATGTTTGCCCTCTTTAAGCACCAAAATGTAAGCACCAAATTTCTAACATTTTTCCTTTCTGTTTTACTTTCTTGTTTACTCTGTAGAAAGAAAGTAAAGTAATGCTGCAGGAAAAAGTGTCAACATTTGAATGAAAAACTTGTTTTGTGTATCCCTTTTAACAAAAGTTTTCTTTTCTTTTATACACACAGTGTATTAATCTCTAATGTAGTATATTCAAAATATGTTTTGGGGGTCCTTGATACTGAACGTTTTTGTTAGTTTTTTCCTAACTGTCTGTGGCTAAACCCAGAGGCATATCCAGGTCTTCAGGCGCTCACGACCAGAATTTAATTTTATTCTGGAACGGAGCAAAGTACATGTAAAAAAACATAGTTTCTATTTTCGGTTAAACCCCCTGAATTTCGAAAATTACAAAAGTTAAAAAGAATTTTGACCTGCAATAACCACAAGATAGAGATGTTTTAACTATGAAATATTGATTTTTAAATAATTAATGTACAATTTTTTTCAAAATTCGAGAAGTCTTCGTGCAATTTGAAGTGAAATTGTAACATTTTAAAAATGTATGTAAGCAAACTTTCTTTCAAAAGGCCTTTTTTTTACGAATGGAACAAAGTTCGCGTAATAATATGACATATACCAATTTTTATTACTATCTCTTGAATTTCGAAAATTTCAAAAAGTTCTAATTTTAAAAATTTCCCCGTCACCATGTTTGTTGATGGGGATATTTATTCTTCATTATTAGATCTTTGAATCATTTCATGTACAGTTTTTCGAAGAATATGTTTTTCTAGGAATATTGCGTGCAGTCGTGAGGACGTTGGGTTCCAAAATCTGAGAGTGGTCGTAAAAGCTCAATACGCCCGGTAGCAAAGAGTGGCTTGGACGTCGAACTTCGAGGGCTGTTGAGATTAAATTCCTTTTCGAAGTAAATATTTTGTTTCGTTAAACTTTTCGTAAGAATAGACCAGAGTTTGGGTGCGATTTGGCTAATTTTTCAGAGGGGTACCTTCAAAACTCCAGGAGGGGACGAATCGAGCCATTCGTGAGTGAAACAAAAGACAGCATTGATTACGAAACAGTAAACGAATGAATGCTGTTGGGAATATGTTTCGTGCCCAATTTCGTGATTTGATCGCTTTAAAGTGAGTCTTAAAAGAGGTTCTTAGTTTGAATTAATTGCAGAGGCAAGGAGAAAACTTTTACGAGGGACGATCCCCGTCAATGCACCACCCTGACTATAATACACTGATTCCAATGACAGAAAATTATTCCCATGTAATCTTGGTAATTTTCAAAACACTTATGATAGTTTGAGGAAGTATTTTTTTCTAACCTCTCGTTTTTATTTTTTCTCCTGTTCTGATCTTTTTCTTGACGAACTGTTTCACAAAAGAGTATTTTGGCATACAACGGGTTGGAAGTCATGTGGGGGAGCTGATATGAAGATTTTTTTTTACTTTCTCCCTACGGAGTAGAGGCGTTACGGAACTGCGCGAGAAAACGGCGTATTTTCTGCAGAAAAACTTATTACAGGGCCCTGGTAACGAAAAAAATAGATAAATCCCGTTCTTAAATTTAGGGGGAAATCCTCAATCTCATGGTGTGGCCAGAATCCGTTTGTGGGTCATTGATACCGAAAAATCCAAAAACGGCAAAACGTTTGTCCGTCTGAGAACAAGCCTAGCGGCTAAACCGTTCAGCCGATTTTCTCCAAAATTGATATTTCCCATTTGATCTGGCTAATGTCGCGGCCCCTTGAATGTGAAACCTTATTTCAATTTTCGGGGGTACTTTACATGAAGCCCCTGGGACATGTTCAAAATTTAAAAAAAAAAAAAAGGGCTCCATCGTTATTGATTAAACTTTGTTGTTGGATAGTGTGAAGAACGTTTAAGAGAATGGTGCAGGTCTCATGTACGTTGAAAAACCTGATTTTTCGAAAATTGCAAAAGTTCAAAATTTGGTCGTCGTCGGAAAGGGAACGAATGTTCACTCTCTCTGATGTGTCTTAAAGTCCGACACGGGCGAATACCGAATGCTCGGCGCTCGGCGAATCACGATCTACCCGTCCACACTACTCGGGATTCGCCGAATTTTCTGGCCTCATGTGCGGAGCTGCCTTTAGGCATAGAGGTCGTCCATAAATTATGAAACCCCGGAGAGGAAGGAGGGGGTTTGATGCAGGTTATGTAGGGGGTTAGGCTTCATAGGCAAGTTACATAGGGGTAGGCATGGTATAGTGCGGTAATTCTATAGTGCGTTTTATTTTTAAAATCTTTCAACATTTTCTGTTGATTTGTCTTTTTATTCAGTCTTATACTAAAGTACTACTGTATTAACACATTAAATTAAAAATATAATAAATGAAAGAAGCTGTATTCTATATTTTGTTACAATAAATTAAAATATTTTCATCAATGATATATTGATTGAAACTTTTAGAGTACAAGTAAAATATTGAAAACTGATCTATAGTATATTCTAGATTCCAATTAGTTGGTGCAGTAGATTTTGGGAATATGCGTCATCCACGGTGGCATGTGCATGGCTTGCCAAAAATTTTCTCTCCTACGCGTCCTTCTTTCGTTACATAATTGTCCCCAAAATTATTGTTATGTGCAATCCACACCACCAACTAATTCTCACGTTAATTATAATAAATTTTAATGTACAACACTAATACAATAAATACAACTCGTTTCTGCTTTACAATTAAGTTTTACTTACTGTCATTGAGGGGGGGTGGCATGTCAGAAGCATTACGTAATTATTAGAGGGATGTTCAAATTTACGTTATATGTGTATTATAGGAGGGAGAGGGGGTATTTAAAATACTCCATATTTGTGTTACGTGATTTATGGATGGCCCATCAGACAGTCAGAACCTGAGCCCGGCAGCTGACAATTAGAATTGCAATGCCAAGTCTCTCTGTATACCTAAAGATGTTCAAAAGCAGTACATGGCATTGCACTCGCTGTTCTCATGTAACGCTACTGTAATGACCTCCTAAGTCTACAACAGCACTTCAAGTCCTGGAAATGCGCACAATATACCAGTATCATAGAGGCTGTGATGAATTTGGTAATTTAAAATAGCAACAAAACAACAGCAGCAACAACAACAAAAGTTCAATGCGAGTTGATGTTTCTGGGGTCAAAACGATAAAGGAATCCTAATTCACAAATATTCTTTTTTTTTTCTTCAACAATATTTAGAAAATGTTTCAGCAGTTCAACTCGCTTTAAGCATAAACGTCTCTACATTATAGAAGAGAAATCATCAAGAAAATGACAAGTCTTAACAAAGTGATTCTCATCAAAATTACATAAGAAACATTTGTTGATTTTAATTAGAAGAAGGAAGTGTTTTTTCACCTAAAATGACTCTTTCTCTATACATTAACCTCACAGTGTAATTCTAGCCCCAATGTATGTTGCACTGTGATTAATGTCTCCAAATTGGACACTGTTCTAAGGGATCAAGTGTCTGAATTGAGCTCATTTACTTTCATTCCAAAAAAAATTGTAGAGAGAGTTCAAAATTGAAGGATTCATTATGTAAAAAGAGGATTTTTAAAAAATGCCTGAGTCTGGACAGAATATGAAGGCCCAATCTTCAGGCATGATATTTAATATTTATGACCATTAAATGATGAATCCAATCTAAAATAGTGTGTAGAAATGATATGATAACACACTGGGCAAAAACATGAATGTATACCAAGATTTAACTTAACTTAAGAACATTCATACATACATAAGAATTTTACTTTTAATTTAATTAGGTTGTGGACAGCGTTTTCATGAATTTCAAGTTTCTGTATTGAGTGAGAAGTTACTTATTTTCAAATGGGCAGTTAGATATGAAACATTTGAACATAGCAACGTACCAAATTACTTCATTATTTATTGGAATATTATATTTTACCTTTTTATTGATATCAACATAATTTGTTACTAAGAACACAAATGTACATATTTTGTCATGCACAACCATTTTTAAAAATTTGTATTTGTTTTTGTAATGATACAAATATTATTTGAATTTGAAAATGAAATGTTTACAAAAATAACATATTTTCATGCTTTTCTTGAATTAAATGTGTTAACATGAAATGTATTTCTGTTTGGTGATAATTTTCTGTCTTAAGTTACAGGTTTCCTTGCTTCCATTAGAGGATGGATGCAAAGATTTCTCCAGTCTGGAAGAGGTGGTGTAACTACAGGGGTGAGAAAACTTTTTAGTTTATTTTTTAATGATTTTTCATTGTTTTTATTTTTGTGTGGCTAAATGTAACATTTTATGATCATTTATGTTATCTCATTTGGCCGCCTCCTCCTCCTCTTCCTCCTCCTTTTCTTCTTCTTTCCCTCCCCTCCTCACCCCTCCATCCTCCTCCTTCCTCCCTATTAGTTTCCTCTTCTCGTCTGTTTCCTTCTTTTCTTTTTTCTCTCTTTTCCCATAATGTATTTGCACTGAAATTATTTGTGAATCTAGATCAATATAAGAGTTGTAATGTCACTGGAGAAGAAATTATGCAATAATAATTATTTTCCCAAACATTGTACATTACCTTATCAGATCTTATTTTGTAAAACAGATTTCATAAAAGAAAAATCTCTGCCATCTATATTGTACTTCTGCCATGTTTAGTTTTTGCAATTTTCAAAAATACATTGTTCATCTAAGTTGGCACTTGTGCATTTTTTTCGAGCATCTACTCTATTGGAGGAAAAAATTAAGAAAAATTGTTGGTGCTGTTTATAAAAAACTAGTTTTATAAATTGCCTATGCTTCAAGCAAACATTTCGCAAAACCTACTCCTTGAAAAAAATGATCTAATGATTACTTTCTCCCATTGCCATGTGTTTATGTGGTGAAGAGAAAGTATTGAAATGCTGCTGCAGAAATTGAAGATTTTCAACAGAAAAACAGTGTTGTTTAGCTCTGGTGTCAAAAAAGTTGATAAATCTTGTAACTAGTACACGTAGTACATTGTGTAGTCTGAAACCATATTTTTTGTGTATTGATACTGAAAAAGTTGTGGGTAGCAAAACATCTTTATCTGCCTATTGTCAACACCAGCATCTAAATTGTCCAAAATTTATATTCTTCAGACAATCTGGCTGAGCTCTAAGCGCTGTGGATTTGAAACAAATGTTTTGGTGGGGGGGTTCACATAACCTCGACATTTTCTCAAAAAATGGCTCCAAATTCTTTTTCCTTGGAGGGAGTAGATGATGTTTAAGAAAATGGCTTAGATTCAAAGAGATCGTTGAATTCTTTGAACTCTCAAAAATTGCAAAAGTTCAATTATTTTCCCCTGCTTAATATAACTACAATAATGATGATATATTTATTCAAAATAATCTGATCTTTAGAGACAGATCTTAAAAAGATCTTTTGTACAATTTTTCATAAATATGCGTAGTTTTCATGAAATTTTGCATGTAATATAGTCAGTTTTTAAGCAATTATTTTTTCAAAAACTGCCCCACTTTTTTTTTTCTCAATTATAGCAATGGACACTTAAAAAATTGTGCATGACCCATTTTCAATAAACTCTCTGAATTTTCGAAAATTCAAAGAAAAATGGGAAAAAATCAGACACAAAAATACAGTATTGATGAAACAGCAAAAAGTATAATAACTAATAGCTATTAGTCATAAAAAGCTCTTACTCATAAAAAGAATTAAAAATAAGAAGTAAATGACCCAAAATATAAAAATAAGGAGAAAATAACCTAATTTTTTTTATAAAATACTAAAAAATTGGTATGAAAATGTTACCTTATTCAATGAATTTTACAATTTTTATAAAAATTCCTTGTAGGAGAAAATATAATCCTTTCGATCTTCCAAATGTCGGTTTTAAAAAGAGGAAGTTGTCAAAAATCTGTGTAATTTTCAAAATTTGAAAAGCTGAGACAATGCAGTAATGAATTTCATCATGAACTGAAGAAACAATAAAATATTTGTTTTTTTGAGTTATTGTAAATTCATGAAACATTCGTTATCAAAAAATGTGAAAAGGAGAAAAATATGTGCAAATAACAAAATTACACAAAGATATGAAAAGGCCTAAAAATCGAAAAATGATAAAAATTGGCCCAATAACTGTACATTTCTATCACCTATATATCAGGATAAACATTCATTTACAAGCTAGCTGTGTCTATAATGTTCCAATGGAAAGGTGCAATGTCATCAGAATCGAAGCCCTGGTTATCAATTGAACACCTGTAACTAAATTCTGTTAACAAAATTATCTTCATTAGTTACTAATGACTTATAATTGGTTGTTGGTAACCTTCTCTGTAACTATCACATTTCATTAGTAGACACATTGTTATAGGAACTGTCCTGCTTCATTTTGAGTTAAGGAACTCATTGGAAAAATCTTCACAAGAAACTTACCACACTCATTTACAATGTTGATTTTTATTTCAATGGACATACTATTATTTTTATGATATAATTTGTCATTTGTTTATTTTGTGTATAACATGTCAATTGCTTACAAATAAAATTTGTAAATAATTTCCTGATATACCTATTTTTTATTTATTACAGCGAAAGACAGGGCATTTACTGAATGAAGGGGGGTCTGAATCACTTGGTGTAACTGGAGCAAGTTCTCGATCTCGCATCTATGAGCCTTCAACCCGATTATCTGGGTAAGTAAACAGTTGTAAACAACATTGAAATATTAAATGTTAGTTGAAATCTTAATTCTGCTCAGTTTTAATATAGAAAGAGTAATTTTTTAATATATATAATATAATTTATAATATATAATATAATAATAATTTTATATATATATATATATATATATAAATTAGAATTTATATATTTATATATATGGCATAATTTAGGTCCTTTGATTTTTGACCATATATATATATATATATATATATATATATATATAAGGTGATTGTGTTTCGTAGCATTTGGATCTTGATTTTATTATTTCTAAGTTGATTGAATAATCTTCTTTTAAGACTGTCAAATGCTTTTATGTTATCAATAAAGACATAATATGCTGGTAGTGTAAATTACCTTTGCTTTTCCGTTAGTTGTGTCTATTCTGAATCCACATTGTTTCACATATTTGAGTTTCAACAATAGGCACTAATTTTTTATTTATAATTTTTGCATAGATTTTATAACAAAAATTAGAAGATTTATACCTCTATAATTTGAACATTCAGATTTGTCACCTATTTTATATAGTGGGTAAATTAGAGCTTCATTTCATTCTTCTGAGATGTATCCACTCGACCAGTAGATATTAATAAAGTTGAGTTAATAAATTGATTCACTGCATATATGATGAAATTCCATGTTTTTATTATCAGTACCAGGTGACTTTATTTTTTGTTGTTGTGTTAACGGCTGCTTTCAACCCATTCATAGAGATCAGATCTATTGAATTACATATATCAATTGGAATTCCTATCCTTCTTCTTCCTCTCTCCTTTTCTTCTTCTTCCTCATCTTCTTCTCCTTCCCCCTCTTCTTCTTCTTCCCCCTCTTCTTCTTCTTCTTCCCCCTTTTCTTCTTCCCCCTCTTCTTCTTCCTCTGCTTCATCTCGTTCTGCAGTCCATAGAGATTTAAAGTAATTTAACCATTTAGTTTCTGAAATTATATTCATTTGAACTATATCACTTTATGGATCATTTAAATATTTTATAATTTACTTTGGTTTCCAAGTATGTTATGTTCAATTTCGCTAATATATCTTTTCCAAACTTCTTGTTTAAGTTTACGGACTTCTCTTATAACTAAAGCGGATTTTCTTTTATATTCCATTCTATGATTCATATTTCCATAAAATGAAAGAGTCTTTAAATACGCTTTTTTATTTTTTTTAATGAGTTGTTTGATATTATCATTCCAGAACCTTAGCCCGATTTTTGAAAATTTAATTTTCCATGCTCCGATTTCTTCTGCTGCTGCTGCTGCTGCCTGTGTTATAATTTCTTTAATGTTTGCCCATTCTTCATTTATATTGTTACTTACAGGATTAATGTTTTTTCTTGTTGAGTCTACTCTGGTATAAAAGTCTTTATTGCTACAATCTACAGTCTTTATTGCTACAGGTGAACTTTAAATGTTTATATTTTTTGTTTGCTATTAATGATGTTTTCTTCCATCTCTTTGGGAACATTGTGAGTCATCTTACTATATAAGGGATGATCAGATGATACATCAAAACTTCTAAGTACTCTCACATTCTTAATATTTATTCAAGTCCTATTGTTCACAAGAATGTAATCAATTATAGAGGCGAATCCACATGCTGTCCATGTTAATTTGTGAATATTTCGGTGTTTAAAGAAAGTGTTAGTAATTCTCAACTCCTTCTATATGGCAAATTCTATTAATTTCTTCCCATTTTTGTTAAGTGTATTCACCTTTAGTGCCTACAATATTGAAATCACCTAATGAAAGAAGATAATCACTTTTATTAACCTTATTTATTGCAATCACTTATTAATTTAGTTAAAACTAAATTAATTTTAATAGTGTTGAATCACGTTGCTGCACACTGCTGTGCTGTAAATTGCCATGTGGCAGAGGTGGGATTTTGGATCTTTTATTGAGGGGACAAAGGGCCCCCCACTTCAGATGGTAAAATGTTACCTGAAGCAAATGACATATAAGTAGTTACACTATTACTGTAACATATAAATAAGATTTTTGAAAGGGTTTCTTAGCACTCTCCACCACCCACACCCACCTACAGCCAGAAACGTACTTATTTTAATGTTTTTGCCAACTTAACACTATTTCATGTGGTTGAAAAATAAGAAAATTTGGTTTTTCTGATAGTATATTTTTTTTAATATTTTCTCAGCATCATATTCAAACAATTTTTTTTATTTTTAAGAATATCAAAAAAATAATTTTTACTGTCTTATAACCCTGGGACAGATTTGAAAGAATCTCAAAAGTTCCTCTCAAAACACTAAATGTTGTAAATTTTTTTCAGATTTTTTTGATTGCTGTTATAAAAGTAAAAACCATTTGAACCATTTTTACCATTTCCCTGTCTTTAAATCACCTTGACTTTAATAGTAGTTTTTGCAATTACTTTGTTATGTTATCTTCTGTTTTATGAGTACATGTTTTGAAAACGAGCGATGTTAGGAGCCAGGCTAATACATCATCATTTGTGCCGTAAAATGTCCGATTGTGAACAATTTCTTGCAACAGAAAAGGTTGCTTATAATGCTGATATACAAAACATATACTTAAAATTGCATGCAACAATTCTGTGCATTTATTTTAGTGTTTATTGAACATTTGTGGAGTCACGGTGGTTCAGTGGTAGGGCACTGTCTTCCTGACCTGAAGGACCCAGGTACGAATCACAGTTGGGTTGGCACTTTTATCTAGTGATTTCCATTCAGGGCTGTTTTGAGGTTGACTCAGCCTCCTTTCCAAGTGAGTACCAGGATCTTTTGTTGGGGTAAAGGCGACTGGTGCGTTGTGCTCGCCACACAACCTCCTCCTTGTGCGAACGGCGATGAATAGGTGGAGTCCTACCTTCACCTCTCCTGTGCGCCAAATCGGCCTGTGTACAATTACATACCTTTACCTTTACCTTATGAAACATTTGTTATGAAAATTGTTCTGTTGTCCAAAGGAAAAATGAAACTTTTTTTGTTATAATAATGGAACCAACATTATGATTAGAACCACTGATTCGCGTTTATAATTACAGAAAAGTGAAATTATAGCTATTAACATACCTTAAAGTGTTATGAGTGTGCAGCTACCTGCTACCGAAAGCATCTTAAATGTTATTAGTTGAATAAAAGGACCTTCGGTGAGTGGGACGGTGTTCCAAGAGTGCAAGATGAATTGAAGGGTGTCAAGACTGCATTACAATACTTGGAGATAGGACAATACGGGATCAAGTATGGAGAGAGCACGAACTCTGGAGAAGGATAAATAGAAGTTACCACTAAAGCAAACAATTGAAAATAATTGTTGTTTTTAAGGAGAAATTAACAAATTGAAATTTTCAGTTTGTACTGCATTTTGCTGTATCTCTGTATAAATAAAATAATTGTTATGGAGAAATTCTATTCAGTTTTGACATCATCAGATATAGTGAACTAAAAATGTTGGTTTACAGATGTTCACTGTCACTGGAGTCGACTGTATGTATGCTTGTGTTCATGTTGCGTGCCATTAGTTTAATAAGGGGTATGTTATTGGACAAAATACATTTTTAATTATTAATTGGTTTTTATTTCTACTCCATCTCAAATGCAAACATACCAGGAAAGTTGCGAAGGCAATCAGTAATTTCATTTGTATAGATTGCACTTGCAGGTGGCTTATCAAATGATTCTTATCTTTTTCTGCCCACTTTTTTTTTTTTTTTTTTTTTTTTTTTTTTTTTTTTTTTTTTTTTTTTTTTTTAAGTTGTTTAGAATAATAAGCTGTATTAGTGACTGTATATGCTTGAGGGTGTGTTCAGAAATTGATTGTAAATATTTTGCAGGGACCCAGGGTTTGCTCATATACAATTTCGCCTACCTGATGGATCAACTCATTCAACTACCTTTCCAACACAAACGACCATCAGGGGAGTGCGAGAGTATGTGCAAAACAATATTCCCCTTCCTTTTAGGTAAGTGTTAGTAAAATTCAGTCTTTTGTTTGATATTATTGTTTATATATCATTAGGTAAACCAGTTACTCCATAGATTGCTTGATTATTTCTTGTATGTTTATAAAGCAGATCCGATTGGTATAATAGCTATTAACGTACCTAGAAATGTTATGAGTGTTATTACTGCAGAGGCCAAAAGTTAAAAATTGAGGTGGAGCATAGCGGAACTAAGATTCTTAATTTGGATGAAGCAGTAATAGCACTGTAACATTTCATAGTATGTTCAGCATTTTATCAGTCACAATAAAAGCTCATTATTTATGTGATAATTTTGCATTACTGTGATAGTAAACTAACACGTTACTACAATATTGTGAGGTGTTGCTTGCAATATATCTATTTAAACAATATTCGTATACCATGGTTCGAGAAAAGATGGATGCAAATAATTCTCCTGAACCTAAAGATATGTTTTTGTGTTAAAGAAATGGTTTTTGATGAGGAAGTTGGCATGTTGACTTCCGATGACGACACTTTCAGATCGTCACTGTAATATAGGGTTAAGTGTTCCAGAATTTAATTAATTGGTCGCACTCCTACTTTGTCCATAAATTTCCTTATGTTTTGGCATCAAACACATTTTTAATTATTTTTTATAAAATTTGGTTTACAAAGGCATCCATTTTTGTTTTCCGCCATGTGCCATTTTTCACATTTGTAGACCTTTACTCTTCTCTAAATTACTCAGCACTGGGTTGTTCTAGCATTTTGGAATAAGTGACATTGGATTCAGTATACTCTGTTCTACAAATAGAAATATTATTTACTTACCTTATGTGTTTCTATTTGGGAAATATTTACAACCAAACCTATTGAACGCGAATGACCTAATCTCAATTTTCAGAGAATAATTTTTGAAATAAGGACTACAATCACAGCTGTAATTTTTTTCTGTGCGTTCACTCATAACAATATAGTTACTTTCTGTAAAGTATTAATGACTGTATATGGATAAGTCCTTCAAGACAAATATATCAACTTACTACTTGAAAATTACATCCTCTTAAAAATTGGAATTTTAAATTTATTCCAAATTTTCAACTGTAATATCTCTGTTGGGGTACTAGATAAAAATCTGAAAATTGCAAGGGTACTAGATTTCTACGATACCTAACTCCAGTAAAAAAATTTAACTTTTAGATTAAGCTCAAAGTATTTTTAAAACAATTGTAAACTTACGCAAAATAAGGCTTCATTTCTACATTGGGGTTAGCTAGTGACAGGTAGAAAATCATATTATTTTGAAGCTACTTTAAATTAAAATCTACACTGATTGAAAAGATTTAATTACACTTTATTATTAATAAACATACTGTTGCAAAAATGTATTATTAATAAATATCTTTCATAATTTATAATTTTTAATATTACTTTATTTTACTGTAAATCAAAATTATTAAAATTTTAAAGTAAGGTCATTGTGGTGTTAGAAGGTAAACCAGCTAAGATAAAAAATAAATAAAATCAATGTTTTGTTAATTTTTTCTTGTTTCAAATTGCCATTTTGCTTATTATTTCTGAACATTTCATCAGAGAAATGGATAGTTGCTGAGTACTCCTTACATACAAAAATTGCGACTGAGTTAAGAAACAATACAAGAGAATCAGAGGATATTGGTTTTTTTTCCCGCTTCAAATATGTATGAAAAAATCAAAAATAAAATCTATGAAGTAGCAAACAAAGTCTTAGGAGAAAGGAAAAAGATAGAGGGTACTTCCCTGGTGGAATGAAGATATTTAAAAACTAGTAGATATTAAGAAGAATCTTTACCACAAATGCCTTTTGACAAAACAAGATGATAGAGAACAACACATGAAACTAAACAGAGATAGAAAAAAGAATAGAAAAGTGCTTAGGTGCCTCTCAATCAAAAAAAGCATGGAGAGCACTCAAAACCATGAAGAACAACTGAGCGAAAAATGTCATTTTCAAAATATGCAGGCTAAAGAATGGAAAGAATATTATAAAAAAATGTTCAGAGAAGAATGGAGGGAATTCTTCAATAAAACACAAACTGATTTAGATAGCAATGAAAACATTAATAAAATCAGTAAAAAAAAATTCCAAGAAGCTGTAAGATTGATGAAAAAAGGAAGATCTGCTGGACCAGATAGTATACCAATAGAATTAACAAAAAGGAGCCTACATGTATTATTCAAGCAATTAGCCTTTTTTTAACTATGTGATAAGAGGTGGAGATGTTCCTACAGAATGGAAGACTGTTACTGGAAAGTTTGTTAAAAGAAAGCGAAGTAACAACAAGACATAGTGCAGTAATTTTAGCCCATGAAGTTGGCATACAAAGCAATGATGAACATAATAATGAGAATAGTGAGTTGTTGAAAGCATGATCTGAGAGACATGTTTAAAGCTGTAGTTTCTTAATTAGTGTTTATGTTAAACACTTGTCAGAATGTTGAGGAAAGGAGAAAGGATTTTCGATTTAAACACAACTTTTCAAAGAAAGTGATAGGTCGGAGAGCAGATATTGACATGCCTTCATGTTCATCAGATTCACACCCATGGATTTTTTGTATGTAGTGTCAGTAAGGACCGTTTTCAAAATTTTCCGACCATTGCTGAACTAAAAGACTACATACACAACACATTTCATTATTTGGACAGTGATATCACACTATGGCAATAGAGTTTGTGACTTGACTTGATAGATTGTGTGATTGACTTGAGATATGTTAATGAAGACAGAAAACACTTTGAATATAAAAAAGAATTTTCAGATGGTTTGTAATTGTGTTTGTATTGTTGTTGAGTGCATTAAGAACTGGTAAATTAAATTACACATCAATTACTCAAAGTACAATCAAGAACAGTTCATACCATTGCATGTATATTCATGATTTTTGAAAACAAAACAATAAAGTGGAAAGGAACAACGAAAATTACAGGAATAGGAACGTGAAAAAGATTTTAATTCCAAGTACAACTTACATTCCTCGATGACATAAAAATTAAGAAAACAAGAGGATGAAGTACTATATTGAAAATTACAGGGATATTGAAAAAATAAAGAGAATCATAACAAACATTAATTACTTAGTATAAGGAATCATTCCTACTTTAAAAGTTTACGCTTTACATCATTGCTGCAAACTGCATCATTTGACTAATAAAAATGTATATTAGACTCATTACCAGTTATACACGTTCTGTTAATAGGGTTGTTAGCTGTGTATAAATGTTTATGAAACTTCTGCGCAAATTTGTATGGTCTTCTCGTATTTAAGTTGGGAATCGTAAAACTCAATAGATTCAGCATAAGTGAATATATATTAAACATATTCAAACTTGAACTTGGAACATATTCAAACTTGATACTATTGTGACGTCATGGGTACTCGCAGTGAACAGACGCAGAGCTTTCATACGGCAAATATTTATTTACAAAGAAAACACAACAAATATTTACAATGAATTTCCTTCTTACACTCTAGTTCTGATAGACCTACTATCCCCTGGTAGCTCTGATAGACCTACTATCCCCTGAGCGATCCAAACCCGATTGATGATCGGTTTCGATTGTGGCATTCGCCACTCCTACTTCTAAAGCGCGCACAAAGCCAAGCTTCCGTGACCGGATGTCACACTGGGACACGAAGTCTGTATTGGCGTGCCAACTGATGGTTTGCCTCGATCGCAGGAGCGATCTTACCCGATTGAGAACCGGCGTAAATCGTGGCACTCAACCATTCCTCACCTCGGAGCACCGCAGTCACCCAAGGACACAAAGTCCTCCACGGGCTTGTCAACACGTGACTTGCCTCGCGAGCCCTGCCCGCCGCAGCACCGTCTTGGCGCCAAGTTTTGTGCAACTGCACGAGGGTCTCCCACTGTCTCTGGAACCCACCCACTGGCTCTGTGCACTTCGTTATATAGTCGAGGCTCACGTGACCAACTACGACACGCCACCCCCACCTCGCTCTATTGCTTGGCATGAGGGTTTGAGCTCCATATCTTAAGACCGGAAGACCCCAAAGCCTTGTGTCTCCCGTTTCCGCATTCTTGCTTTAAGGAAAACCCCATCTCTTCTTCCTGTTGCGAGGAGTTTCCTCTTACTAATCCCTTACCAAGCGTCCCAAAATAGATGCCACGAGGCACGCTGGCTAATACGTTACACTATGATGTTATTTGAAATAATAAATAAATGAATATATATGTAGGTTCAAGGAGGAGACTTATTCTAAGATTTCACTACACACCTGACCACACCACACCACATCACACCACATCCATCACCACATCGTGTTGTTCCACCACATCATTATTGTTTTTCCTCAATAATTTCCTATTGTTTTCTTCACCACCACCACACCTCCACCACCACAACTATGATGTATTATCATACACCTCCACCACACCACCACCGCATCACACACCACACCACCACCACACACCACCACCACCACCACTATGATGTATTATCTGTACATCTTTTGAAAATTTTTCCTCAATCAATTTCCTATTGATTTCTTCCTAACAACTATCATTTGAGTTTCTTCAGTAAAACATTCAATTTTTAATATTAAAAATATTTGAATGTTTCCTAGTTGAGTAAGAATTTTATCAAATCTTAGTTGGGGCATGGCACAAAATTGTTGGGAAACACTTGTGTAGAACCTCCACTGCAGTGTGGGACTGCTTATTATTTTTTTAAAAATTGGAAGATTGATTCAGATTGTAATATATATATGAACTTAATCGTGGACTGCTAGCCAATGCACATTAATGCGATTACTTTGAATACATAAATTTTCTATTGCTGTGTTATGTAATGTGATATGTCTTAATTTTTTGTAAATGTTGTTTATGGAATTGCAGTTGACATGTGAGATATGCTTAATACTTGATATGAAAAATAAAACAATCTGCATTATTTGTGTTGTTTGCTTTTTCAGGGATTTTGGTCTTTCAACTTCTTATCCACGAATTGAATTTACGGATGAACAGATAGATGCAACCATTGCAGAACTTGGTCTTGTACCACGGTCTGTAATTCTCATTATACCGGTAAGTCTTTTTGTAATGAAAGCATAATTAACTCGGTCTGTAGCACACCTCTCCTCCTTGCATTCTCTTCATCTTAAATCAACCAGCACTGCAATTGTGCACTTTGTAGTCCAGTGAAGTGGTAGTTTGGCAGGGGAGAAAAGGTTTTCTATCATTCTGTGTGTGTGTGTGTGNNGGGGGGGGGGGGGTAATCTGAATTTCAGTACTGCCACCATAGAGATTATGTGTATTAAAAAGAACTGCAGATTATAAGCTTTTTGCAATTTTTCACTTATATCATGAAAACTACACACTTTAATAGAAAAGGGTTCTTAAACAAATATAAAATACATTGCATTCGCCACCAATTGTATCTATTAATTTTCATCAGATGAACAGTTTTGGCACCAAGGAAGATACTGTGAGACGCCTTACAATTTAAAAAAGTATGCACTTTTTAGAGAAAAGTGTTTCTGTACTTTTATTTTTAATTCTTATAAATTTTTTTCTTATACAGTTCAGGCGTGTTAACAACAGACAGAGGGGCTGAGCCAAGACCCAACTCTCTCATATCTCGGGGGGGACATCTATTTTCACAATATATTTTAAAGCTATAAATTTCGTTAATAGTTGTTCATTACTTGTTCAGTTTTGTAAATAATTAATTTATATATAGACATGTGCATGCACGCACGATAGTGACAGCATTTATGACTCAAGAACTCTTATTTGTTGAATTCATCTCTGCTCTGAATAGCAGAATAACTATTAAAATATTGAAAAAAACCACTAGATTGCAATGTAGAAGAAAACTAAATAATTATGTCAAATGCAACCTGCAACACTGCAAGGATTTGTTTGAATCTATATCATTAAATAACTCCTAAGCAAATCATTCTAGGGCATTAAAAACTAAAATTTGGAGGTAAAAAGCCTCAAAGAAACGTTTCTCACACTGTAATCTTCAGGACGAGATCTTTTTTCACATTCTCTTAAATTTTTGCTAAGGGAGAGGGGTGGGGACAGAGAGAGAGAAAGGGAGATGAAGGGCAGAACCCTGTCTGTTGGATACCTCTTGTTACTAATACATGTTAATTATTGATTAATTTTTGAAGGAGTAATTACTGTGCTGTATGTACAATCGCAGAGTCTGATGAAAATATTTATATTCGTTTAGGAATTCTCAAGTTGGGATCCACAATCTTGTAAGGGGCCCAAAAGCTGCTTCACGGTTATGGTTTTACATCAAATAAAAATACCTTCCTAGTATTGGTGGGTGGAAAGAATATATGGAAGAAGTAACAATAGAGAAACCATTACGAACTTGGTTTTTTGATCGCCAGCCTTTTATCACTCAGCCAAAAGATTACAATAGAACAGCTTCCAAAAAGCACTGCTCTATCACAACACTATAAAAACCACAGACCATTTTGCAACAATACTACTAAGCTTTGTCTAGAAAGTTGTACTTAGCTGATTGAAACAACAAAGTGAAGGCCATGTGGAATGTTATTAAGCCAACAACAGGTGCACAGAAAACTAGGGAGAAAAACCTTAAAATAATTGACAATGAATAAACAGTATCATTTAATAAAAATGCTAACATCTTTAACAATTGCTTTTCGAATATTGTAATTAAGCTTCACAAAAATTATAAAGAAAATTCTAACTAGCAAACATTTAATGTAAAAAATCTATATCTTCCAGCATGTTCATATACGAAACTACACCAGACAAGATTTTCCGAGTAATAAATAACTGTCAAACAAATTCTTCTAGGAATAGTTAACATTCTGAATTTTATTCTTAAATTACACATAAATGATTTATGGTAAATTCTTACACCAATATTTCGGTAAATATCTCGATTTTTGATAATCAGACATGCTTTCAAGTCTGAGTAGCTGAGTTTCTAATCTTCAGTGTTGTGCGATTACCAAATGTTGAACATTTTTAACTGGCCTTAACATTTCTCCTGTTCATATTCCAGGGAGTAAGTTCTCTCACGATATAATATTGTTCTGTATAAATAATTATAATTTTTAATTAATGATAGTTTTCTAAACATTCTAAGCAGTTGCATAACTAGGTTTTTGGGATGCTTCGATGCGAAAATGGAAATGGTGCCCCTATCTCCTATATACCTGAAATGAAGTTTTAAATCTAATTGGTTTAAGAATACAGTAAAGGAGAAAATATGCATTGAGTGCAATTTGTTTTATTCTTTGCCAATATCTGTCCACAGAGGTTCTTTTTAAGGCCTTATTACTTTTGCGTGACTGGTGCAGGACCCTGGTGGCTATGCCCCTACTCTTAAGGATAAATGACAGATACGAAAGAATCGTAATTTTATTATGTTTTGTAATCAATAGGACCTTGATTATACCTACCTTGATTACACTGGTCCATATTCAGCTATAGACCCCCAATCAACATTGCCCCCCTTGAAATTTTCATCAACCTCCAGGGGAACAGTACCAACCCCATTGGAAATCCGTGGTCTAAACAATTCACAGAATTTTCTTCACAATGAATATTCCACAACTGATCTTTCTGTTGCTGTGGCCTCTTGAATTTAAGCAGATCTTCTAATATTGGGGGCTACTTCAAATGAAGCTCCTAGGACAATTTCAAAGTGTTCCCAATAATGCATTCTTTTTTATTTATTTATTTTTTCTTCCATAGTTGAGCAAAGTACATTCTCAAAAATGGCACCAGTCCAGTTTTCAGAAAAATATTTAAAATTTTGAAAATTGCACTTAAAAAATAAAGAAATTCCTCTCTTACAATTTCATAATTAAAGTTGCAGATTTTTCTTAGCGAATCGTGTTCTTCAAAGTGAAATCTTTAATAATATATAATGTCGTATCCCCAACCTGGATGGACGAGGTGGCTAAGAGCGTGTACCGCAAGTGTGTGTATGGTTGAATGTGTGTCCCAATGGGACATAAAGGGTAACGAGCTGTCGGATGGTAAAAAACCCTGGAAAAACGTCATACCATAATATTTTTCAAAAAGGATCCAAAGTTTTTTGTTAAACTTTTGCTCGAATATAGCATATTTTGTTTAATAATATGCGTGAGATGAATTTTTATTAACATTTCTGGATTTTTGAAAATTTTAAAAGTTCAATTTTTTTTCAATTCCCTCCTAGAACTACAGTTTTTATTATAGTGATTTTTTCTTAATGCAGACTTGTCCACAACATTAGATCTTTAAATCATTTAATGTACTTTTTTTTTTTTAAGTGTTGGTTGCTTTTTCATAATTATTTTGCGTTTTCAAGTAAAGGCTGAAGTATTAGTACAATAGGTGTATATTTTAATGTTATGAATCCATCACATATGAAATGTGCTGTTGTAGCACCATTAGCTTTTTGAGGTACTAACAGTATTACTCAATTGTGAGCGAATATTACTACTTTTTGTTTTATACAGTGTTCTTTTTTGATTCCAGGGTACTGAGACTGCACGACCTGTACTGTCATCTGCTTCAGGTGCTTTGTGGGCTGTGGTTACATGGCCATTTTCTGCTGTATTTTCTGTGGTAAATTATATAAATTTCTTCTTGTATGGAGAGCCACAAGCAGAGATTAGTGACCAAAGTGCTTCACAACAGCAACCAAGAACATCTCAATTGCCTACAAGAAACCAGAACCCTTCCGATAGAAACCAGTGAGTAAGAAGTTGTTTTTTCAATTGTAATTTGTTTTTATTAAAATAGAAATCCATTATAAAAGAGATCTGGGTAAATAGATTTGTTTCATAGATGAGGGAATTCTTATAACAATGAAATGCTAAGATATGTTTGTACGTATATTCACCTAAGGTAATCTTACACTTACACATTCTCGCTTTCCTTGTTCTCCTTTTACTTCACATGTAATGTTGTTTTGTTGATATTGATGTTAACTTACTTTGTGGAGCAATCACAATAGGGGTTCTCTGAAAACCTTTCTAAATTGAAACGTGGTCTTCCACGAAAACGGAATACTTGAACGTTAAATCACCCCATTGGTGGAAAGCTCAATTCGTAGTTCACAATGCGTTAAAATAATGAGACATAGATAACAAATATTGCACAACTCGCTCTTTTCCTGCTAAACACAATTTGGTCGTTAGTATGAATGAAGTCTTGATAGAGGCAACATGCCTTATGATCTTTCTCAAAAGAATGCACAGTGAATCTGTCAGCAGACATTCACTTGTGAGAGATGAGCTGGGTGATAAACTCTTATTCATATCATTCTCTACAATATAACTGTACATTACTAACAAATATAAATATTGTTTAACCTCTGCCCCTAGGGATTTATAACTATTAAGAGGTACTCACAGGAGCATTAGAAAAGTGCAAACTGGTATGTTGTTCAGTTCATAACTATTAGTCTGGTATTAAGTCATTTTTATGAAAGATTATCAAATAGTCAGATGCACAATGCAAAACAAAAACAACACGAGAGGTAAACCTGCTTCTTCTAATTTCTGAATTACTATGGGCAATTTTACAAAATTTGATTTTATATATTGTATTGGTTTTTTAGTCATTAATTTTTGAATGCAAGCGGGCTAAGAGTCTGCTCTAGATTATTTGCCTTCCTGTCGTGAGTTATCAAATGATATTAAGTTATGGCTTCCTCTATCTTCATTATTGTTTGTTAGTTAATCGCTTGATATTGATTCATTTCATGATTGTGATTGTCAGCACATGTACCCGCTTCGCAAATCGTAGCATGTGTACCAAAGAGTTAAAATTTCTAGTATAACAATAAGAAAAGGCAACTCTGTACTGTCTGAATCTAAGAATAATATGCTATTTATATAAAGTATGCATAAATTTTAATTTTCACGAATTATTTATGCATAAGTAGCTTTAAAAACGTGTCTAATATGCTACACAGATGTCAAAACCTGCAAACCTGCCTACATGAATTTCTTCTCAAAAATATCAAAACAGGCAAACATGCATGGAGAAAGTATGCATTTTTAAAATGAGTATGACATGAAAAATATATTTACAAAGTTTGAAAGTTCTACGAAACAAAATAAAAACATGTGTTTGCATAGAAATCCTTTCTTTATTTATTACCTATTTACTATGATTGAAGTGAAGCTTCGTTAGTTACCATTACTAGGTGTGAATTATTATTTATTATTTTTTATATTATTATTATTATTAGCAGCAGCAGCAGCAAGCTGCTGTACACATATCTTACAAACGGTGTAATAAAGTTATATAATTGTGAATTCCATATATGTACTACTTGGTTTACAATAGTATCTCACGAATGTTAATGAAAGGAACTTTTTCTCAGATACTATTTATTTTACAGACTTCAAATTTTATGTGAATGTAGATTCCTTATTTATATGCATAGCATCCTTATTTATATACAAAGACGATTTGTAAACAAATTTCTTATTTTTTAAATATAAATTTTAGTCTATTGTACCAGTTTTGTTCTTAAAAATACAGTGGAACCCCAGTAATCCATACTAATTGGGGATGTGGTATGTTCGAATTATTCGAAAAAATGTACAGTACATATACAAATACATCTATAGGATTACCAGACACAATGCAACAAAGCATGCGATATGAGAAAATGGCAACGTAGCAAAGCAATTGCATTATCACATCGCATCATTAAGCAGATTCTGTTCCTTAATGGAAGAGAAGATTACCAGTTTTGCAAGTTCCTCTAAATGAAATTTACTGCTAAATAAACATGTGATATACACTGTAGTTACCAGTGCAATAAACGTTTCATTTCGACAACTTGTGTTTCAGTAATTAGTTCCAAACCAGATTCCACTTTATTACAATCGGTTTATTTGAAATAAAAGTAACAGTTCATAAACATAGTTTATTTCTCAGAGTTTTGAAAATTGATAGTTTATTTCAAATAAGATTAAATTTCCACAAGAAATTCAACAACCAAACTATTCTTGATCATGATGACATCAGTAGAAATAATGTTTACAATAATGATATGAATAACTTGATGATTCCCTATGTTCCAAAAATTACTAATAGATTCCACAAAGCTATAAAAAATAGTCAATGAAAAATTGAAGGTTACATACAACTTCTTCTCGAAAATTTCCCTGAATATTTCCTGAAACTTTACATGTAAAATTATCTAAAACTGAACTCAATGGTAGTATGTGATAATTTCACTAATGTATATTAGAGTATTTTATATAGAATCAGTTAGTTCCTTTTTTTACTTCATCTGTTTGAAATCCTCTTCCTCTCCTTTTACACACACACCCTCCCCTTCTCACTTTTTCTTGCAACTTCTGTATCACATCATCATTTAATGTTCATTTTAAGAATTGAAGAATTTCAATGTTTTTATTCATTCAGTTTTTAATTGGAATTTTTTTTTTTTTTAACTACACATTGTTTACCTGAAGATAGAGACACAATAGAGCTCCAAAACCAATATTTTCAAGAAGCTGTAAAATAAACTATGTTTATGAACTGTTAATTTTATTCAATTGAACTGGTTGTCTATAATACAAACTACAGTACAAATTACACTACAAATGAGCATTTTGTTTATTTTTCCTTCATCCCGAAGTTTGCTCGGATTATCCGAAGTTTCAGATTAGCGAGGTTCTACTGTGCTTTGTCTAAAGTGTTTAACATTGTATAAATTTATCCTGTTAAAGTATCATTTTCATTCGTTTAGATCAAATGTAAGGCGGCGTATTCCTTCATCAAGTGTTGTCCAACGGGAAGGCAATGTGTATAGGCTTTCTAACCGCCAAGATGATAGTGAGGATGAAAATAACACTTGGAATGGAAATTCAACTCAGCAGATGTGATACGTAAGTGCTTATTTCTGTAATTAATAATTATTTTTGAGAGAAAATATTACTGTTTGAGTCAGACCAAAAGTGGAGTCAAATGTTGAAATGAATCATAGAAACAACAAATGTAAACTTTTACAGCTTAATATAAACTCCATAAATAATACTTATTAATTTCATTAAATAAAAACAGTCTTTTGAAAATATACTTTGAAAAACAATTAATAGAAATTTTGAAATATTAAAATAAGAAGTTCAACAAATGCAACAGAATACATTTGAATGGAAGAACATTGCAACAAAAAGGTGGGCAAGACAATTGTCATGTTCACTTCTGACCATCTTGTGCATTAACTATTTCCTGCATGACCGAAGTGCATATATAAAACGTAAGAACTCTGAAAATTTTACTGATTATCGTAAGAACATGTAGGGATTTTCACATCTTCCATGAGCCACCATCACAAGTCTTAATGGAGTTACATGACACCAGTATTGTATATATTATAGGAAATTGATACTTTTTTAATTAGAGCAAGCAAGGGCTGCAATAATCGCACAATTCAAAAAATCAGGCGTTGAAATAAATTAGTTTGAAGATTCACCTTTTAATTGAAATGCATTATTCTTGTATTCACACATCTGCCATTTGGTGGTGGAAAACTTCTGTACGATTTCCTGCTGAAAGTTGATCAATCTGCAATTCTGGAGAGTGTATTAACTCTAAAATTTGTATTTTTTGAGTTGTGCCACTATTACAACTCATAAGCGATATATCTTATTCATATAGTGTTGGTTTTTTTCATTCCCTATTTCTCTCTCTCTTTTTTGTTTATTTTTGTAATGGGTTTACAAATAATTTTTTTTAATTAAAAATATCCAAATATGAATTTTTCTATGAAGTATTTCAAAAATACCTGCCTGATATCAATAGTTGTAGTAAAAATTTAGGTGACTGAAATAGATTTTTATTTCATTTATAACTTATTTAAAATCACTGCTGAAATGATTCAATGTAGATATAGTCGTCCCGCTCAGTTAGGTAAGCAGTGAGATTAGTAGCACTATAAGTTTTTATAATTGTGTGTAAAAAATTGCACTTAGGAAGTCACACAAAAGTCATGAATTTTACCAGACATGAAACCCGCACATTCTCCTAAGTGTCCTTTACACTATCTGCGGACAAAGTTAAATCAAAAAATTTGGGAAAATTTTCAAAAAATTTTGAAGCTTCATGTAAATCCTAAAAAATCCAAATGTCCTGTTGAAACTCCCAAAGCCATGAATTCATTCACATCGACTGGTGAATATTAATTTTGGAGAAAATTGGTTTAACGGTTTCGGCACTAGCTTTGATCACGGACCGCCCTCC